AAAGGAAAAAACTCAAAATCATCCATAATCCCAGCTATTCAGGATTACCACTCTAACATTTGCTAACCATCCTTCTTCATATTTTATTCTGAACGTGTACAGAAAGTATATTTGTATAGAAATGGTTACTTATTTTACATCTTGTTTTGTTGGCTTCCCTATCACACTGTAGAAAATTATGTATTTCTATTGCACTGTAAAAACACGAGGGCAGTGGAGAAAGTGACCTGAGGGTAATAAAATGTGCAACTTACACATAGCCCTCTGAGAAGGCCAGGCCTGAATGGTTATATATAATTGATGGGTGAGGAAATAGTGCCCTGAGTAGGAAAAGCCAGGTCTAGGCCATGACACAATTTGGGCCAGCTCCCATCTCTTTCAAAGAACTCCATCTCCCATCATTTTAGGCATTCAATAATAAGGGATTAAAAAATGATGGAAACGATCACGAGTTTCTCTTGCGTTGGCTTTGCTCCTGATAGTTTTAAAATACCTGGTTAATTTGTCAATTTCTCTCTGTAGTTCTTTTAATTTGTTTAATATTCTCAGGCTATATTATTTAGCAACATACATGATTAGAATTATATCTTCCTTAGTGAATTGAAATGTTTACTGTTCTCTAGTGACTTTATCTCTAGTAATGTTTTCCTTCAAGACTACTTTGTCTGTTATTTAAATACAACAGCTTCCTCTTAGATACCATTTGCCTGGCATATCTTTTTCTGTATTTTTCACCTTTCTGTCCTTATCTTTTTAGAGATACACTTTGTAAAATGGCTTATAGCTGCTTTTAAAAAAGAATCCTATTTCATGATCTTTACTTTTAACTGAAAAATTGAGCCTATTTACATTTCCTTGATTAATGATGTACTTAGATTTATTTCTACTATTCATTATATGTTTTCTACTTATCTCCCATTTTTGTTGTTTCCTCCTCATTTTCCTGCCTTTCTTTGGGTTGGTTTTTTTCTCACTCCATTATGTTCTTCTACTTTAGAAGTTTTCTCTCCCTGCCACCCCTCCTTCCCTTTCTTAGTGGCTACCCTGGTTATTTCAGCACATACACTTAAATCAGTACATCTGCCATCTTCCTGAAATAAAAGGATCTTACAATGCTTTAACCCAGCAACTCATTCACAAAAGTTTGCGTCTCAAAACTTTATATAGTTTTGTTAAGGCCACAAAACAGACATTATCATAGTTTTATAGTCACTATTACTTAATAAAAACATTTATATTAAACATCCTTTTGTATATTCAACCCTTGGTATATTTTAGTCTGGTCTCCGGTATTTTCTGTTTTACATATCAACCTATTTTCTACAAGATTCCTGATGTAGCATTGCTAGGAATTCCCTGGCTGCATATGCTAATTAGCACAGCTAATGCAGATGTGCCCTAAAGTTCACTCCTCTAACCGTCTGCATTTTCAGTTCTGTAGGATGACAATCTCATTATATAGAACTTTCATTCAATAACATACTCTCAAAATTTCCTGTGATATTCGTATGTGAATAAATGTCTCTCAAGTCTGATATTCATCTTAGGGTAGAAAAATAATCATTAGAGAAAAGCCATCATTAGTATGTTCTGGGTCAATTCCACTATACCCTCCTTCCCTGCCCCAGGGCACGCAGTTCAAATTGGACACATCTTAGGAATGTCTGAAATGAGGGGTGACTGTTGAGGAAAAAGGAATTTTTACTGAAAAGTTCGAGACTTAATTAAGATATATTTTATTGGGGACCTATGAGCATGCTTCAACACTTCAGTATGAGAGACCTCCTTTATCTCCTCAAATCTTGCACATTCCTTCCTCCGCTTTCGTTCTAACCAATTTCATCTTTCACTGAGAAAATACAATTAACCAAACACCCACCATCAAATTCTCAGATCTGCTTGCACTGACACTTATATTCTCTTCCCTGCTGTTCAGGGAAAGTAACCCAGTTCCTATCAACCACTAACTGGGTCATCTCTGCAACAGCTCATCTTCTCCCGGCCTCCCAAATACTTTTGTCCTGAAGTGTTACCTTACAGTTTACAAATATACTTTACCCAGCCTTAATAACAAACCAAAACCAAAGAATCAAAACTCCCTTCCTTTATCTCACATCTGCCTCAAACTAACTTACCTCTGGGCTTCTAGTGAAACACTTAAAGGGTAGTCTACTCGTGCTGCCACTCTTCCTATCTTTACCTTCACCCTTTAACTCTAAGAATGATAAACATTTATCGAGCACTTAACGTGCTGAGTACTGTTCTAAGATTTTTTTAAAATGTTAATTATTTCTTAATCCTTACAACTCTATGAGAAGATGATGTACTGGAGATAAGGCAACTGAGGCACAAATGTTACAAAACTTGCAGAAGGCCTCAGAAATAGTGACAGGAAGAGTTTTCAAACCTGAGAGCAGAGCCAAGTTCTTATCAATTTACCCTATGCTAAAGCAATGTGGTTTATGACCTCCGCAGTCCACCAAAAAGGCTTTTGAACAGGTTTACAGTGGCCTACATACTGCCAAATTTAAAGGACACTGGCTCATCATTTAATTTTGTAGTAAAATCAACAGAATGACCATTTCTATCTTCATATACTTAGTTTCCTTGGCTTCTAAGACACCATACTCTAAATAGGCTCCTGCCTCATTAGCATAGGAGATCAGCTACTTTTCTTTCCTCTGCGTGACTTCTAAACATTGGAGAGTACCAAAGCTCAAACCTAGGCCTTCTTATTTCCTCTAAAGACTGTACTTTACCTCAGGGATCTTATCCTATCACCTGTCTTTAATATACTATCTGAAGGCTTATGATTCCAAATTCTCTGATTCCCACTTAGTGTCAAACAAGCTTTTCAAATCTAACACACCTCAAACCAATTTTTTTTTTCTTAAAGGAAACTTTTTTTTTGATATGGACCATTTTTAAAGTCTTTATTGAATTTTTGTTACAATATTGGTTCTGTTTTATGTTTGGTTTCTTGGCCGCGAAGCATGTGGGATCTTAGCTTCCCGGCTGCATTGGAAGTCTTAACCACTGGACCACCAGGGAAGTCCCTCTCAAACCAATTCCTGATTCTATTTCCTCCCAAACTGCTTCTCCATGGCCCCTAATATCTTAATCAGCTAGCTGTAGAAGTTAAAAGTTGGCATTGTACTTGATGTCTTCCTGTTATCATGTACCTCATAAGTCCTGTCAGCTCACCTCCAAGTAAATCTCACAACTACCCATTTCCATCAATCTCCAATGCAACATCTCTATCCTAACCTGTTACCTCGCTTCAGTGATTGATTACTCAGCCTCTAAAATGGCCACTCTGCCTCTCTACTTTTGCTCCCATTTCAACCCACTCTTCACAAAACATCAAATGATCTTGTCAAAATGTCAGTCATACTGCCACACTCAAGTCTCCTTTGGCAGATTCTCATGGTGCTTAATAAATCAAGTCTTTGACGCAGTGGCCTATGACCCTTACATTATATGCTACATGGCTGTATCTTCAGCCATATCGTACACTTCCCCTGCCTCCCCAGCACACACAAGAGCACTAGTAAGATCTTAAGAGGGCAGCAGCATATTGTTTTGATATTCATTATGTATCTACTAAATGGCATCCAACAGGTAAGTAGGCAAATTATTCGCCGAAGTTTGCAAGCGCCATCTCTCCCATCTATTACACTGAAGTTGTCACAAAAAGCCGTTAACTTGCTTTATAGTCTTAGCTCACCACTAAATAGATATAAAACACTAAGCTTGTCACTTACCTCTCATTTTTTCTAGATATAAAATGGAGAAATAATACTCTACTACCCAGTGGAGCTGCTGTGAAGACCATCAGTTCTCAAAGTGTGGCCCCTGGCACAGCAGCACCTGGGAACCTGTTAGAAATTCAAATTCTCAGCCCCCATCATGCCAGATTTACTGAATCAGGAACTCTTGAAATGGGACCCAGCAATAAACCCTCTAGATGATTCTAATGTACACTGAAGTTTAAAAATTTAGATGAAAACACTGGGAAAAAAAAAAAGTAGAGCTAAATAAATGCCAGGTTATGTTGTTATTACTGCCTTGTATGACAATATGGTGTTTGTTATGCACCAGTGGTAAATAGTAAAATTACAAAGTCAGGTTTTTCATAAAATAACTTGTGTTGGCTCTTTTAAACACAGAACACCTTAAACGTGAAATACATATATGCAGTATGTAAGCAAGGAAAGCAGAGATAGTATTGCTTAAATGACAGATATAACTAAGGAATACCTGAAACAGTTGATGAAAGGTTATCACTGAAAATTAGGATACTTGAGATTTTGTTGGGCTTGGGGCAAGGATAAAGATGTTTAATGGTCCCTCACATGGTTTGGGTATGATATAAGGTAGCTATTAATATGTATCCTGGCAACGTGGGCAATGTGGGAGTAACCACAATTTATCTTATAAATCTTGACTAATAATGATTCAGGTTTCCAATAATCTGGTCACTTGTATCTATTAGGATAGAGTAAGACAGATGTACTTATTAGGAAGTTCAGGTCATCTGCCTAGTGACATACTAAAATGATGATTCTGGGGCTTCCCTGGTGGCGCAGTGGTTGAGAGTCTGCCTGCCGATGCCCTGGTCTGGGAAGATACCAATGCCGCGGAGCGGCTGGGCCCGTGAGCCATGGCCGCTGAGCCTGCGCGTCCGGAGCCTGTGCTCCGCAACGGGAGAGGCCACAACAGTGAGAGGCCCGCATACCGAAAAAAAAAAAAAAAGAATCAAAACCTTTACTTTTAATGCATATGCTGTTCCCATGGAAATTTACAGGACAGGAAAATGGTCATTCCAAAGTCAGTTTATCTGAAAAACACAAATTATATGAAGTCTGTGTGTGTATCCTTATTTAAACTAAATGTTCTTAAAAATTCCTAAGCTCAAATGATGTCACAAAAGTGTTAGAAACGTGTAGACCATATAGTGTACACTATATCATGTAAAAATAAATTAAAACAGATTTGGATTATGCTGTCATTTTTAATTTTAATAAAATAGATAATTTCATACTACATAGAGAGCAAGTCCATCCACTCATTGATAAAATTTTAGAAATATTTTCTATAAAAAGTTTAGTAGCTGATTGCGAATGAATCCATTAGAACATGATTTCTATAGGTACAGTGTTCCCATCCTCACCCCCATTCTTGTTAATTTTGAGAAAATTTAAAAATACAGAAAAGTACAAAAAATAAGACAAGATATCCATATACCACAATCCAGAATTAACCAGTATTTCAATATATTTTCTTGCAGTCTTTTTTTTTTTTTTTAAAGAGAAATGGACGTTTATATATAAAACTGAAGTCCCCTCTAACCAATCCAATCCCCCCCATCTACCACACGCATTCCCTTCCCTTCTCCACTCTTCACAGGCAACCACTATCAAGAGTTTGGTCTGTATCCTTCCAAACCATTTCAAAAACATTTAAAAAACATACATACATATATGTATCCATTACCAATATATAGCACTGAAATTTTGAGGGAAGTTTTATTCAAATTTACAAAACTGTCATTGTAATATATGTCATTCTGCAACTTTATCTTTCCCTCTCAACGTGATTTTTGAGATCTTTCTCTGTAATACATATAGATCTCATTTATTACATTTTACAGATATACACTATTCCATCATAAGTACTTTCCATTTTGTTGCTGATGGGCATTTAAGTTGTTTCCAATTTATGACTACTACATATCATGCCACAGTAAATAGCCTGGTACACATTTCCTGAGCATACAAACTCAGAGTAGAATTGCTAGGTGTTTTTCAATTTGCTATAAGGAATGTTTCCCAACTCCCAAGGTCATAACCCTTTTAGTATATAGCTTTATCATATTACTATTTTTAACCTAACCCCCTTGGATCTTACCTTTGTGTATAGTTCGTATTTTTCTTTTGTCCCTTGGAGAACAAATTACCTCCAAATCATTTTTTAAATAGTCCCATATATTCTCATCTCCTGATGCCATTTCTATATTATAAATTCTAATAAATGCATAGGTGTTTCCAGAATCTCTTCTGTTCTGCTAAATCAATACCATAAAGGTCTCTTCCTAATACTTGCAACCTTTTTTTTTTTACATTGGTGAAGATCTCCAGATCCATGCAGACGGCAATGTTAAACATGTTTTCCATTCCCAATTTTAGTGGAAATGCATCTAAAGTTTCAGCATTACCTGTGCTGTATGTTTTTTTTTTTTTGCTGGATATTATCATACAAATGTCTTTCTCTTCAGGATGAATTCTCTGGTATCCTTTAAGTTTTTAGCTTTTGTTTCTCTCATTTGTGATGCTTTCCTTCAGAATGATTATTTCTGATATGTTATGAGATGTAAATTCCTGATGAACACCTTTCATGTATCCACAGGTTTTTAATGAGTATGAATTTTCTGGTGTCTAATATGGTGTGATTTCTGGCTGAAAGCTTTCCCACATTCACTACATTGATAAGGCTTCTTACCTGTGTGTATTCTCAAATGTAGAGCAAGGGTTGAGAATTGAGAGAAAGCTTTCCCACACTCATTACAACCATAGGGTTTCTCACCTGTATGGCTTCTCACATGCACCGTAAGAGATGAACTTTGAGAGAAGGCTTTTCCACATACATTGCATTCATAAGGCTTATCACCTGAATGAATTCTCACATGTACAATAAGTGACGTTCGCTGAGAGAAGGCTTTTCCACATTCATTACATTCATAGGGTTTCTCTCCAGTGTGAATATTTTGATGTTTTATGAGGTACTTCTTCTGACCAAAAGCTGTTCCACATTCACTACACTTAAAGGGTTTCTCTCCAATATGAATTTTCTCATGCTCAGTAAGGTTTGATTTGCCACTGAAAGTTTTCCCACACTCCTTACATACAAAGGGCTTCTCTCCTGTGTGAGTTCTCTGGTGTCTGATGAGGTTCGACTTCTGAATGAAAGCTTTCCCACAATCCTTACACTCAAAAGGTTTCTCTCCAGTGTGAATTTTCTGATGGGTAAGAAGGTTTTCCTTCTGGCTGAAAGATTTTCCACATTCATTACATTCAAAAAGCTTCTCTCCAGTATGGGTATTTTGATGTTTAATAACATACTGCTTTTGGCTGAATGCTTTTCCACATTCATTACATTCAAAAGGTTTCTCTCTATTATGAAAATGCTCATGCTCAGTGAGAGTTGATTTGTGGCTGAAGACTTTCCCACATACCTTACAGGCAAAGGGGTTTTCCCCACTACAAATTCTCTGCTGACTGAGGTGTGACATCTGAATGGAAGCTTTCCCACATTCACAAGATTTCTCTCCAGTATGAATTTTTTGATGAATAAGAATTTACTTTTAGCTGAAGGTATTTCCACATTTCTTACATTTGTAGGGCTTCTCTGTGTATGACCTTTCAAATGCAGCGTAAGAGATAAGGTTCAAGAGAAAACTTTATCATACTTAGTACCTTCAAAGCTTTCTCTTCAACTCTAAATTTTCTAATACTCAAATGAAGTTTTGTTACATTCACTGGTTTCTCTCCAGTATGAATTTTCTTCTACTCAATGAGATTTGTTATCTAGCTAAAGGTTTTTCAATATTCCTTAGAAGCACAGGGTTTCTCTCCAGCCTGACTTCTACATTTATGAGGTGCAACATGTGAGTGAAAGTTTTACCACATTCAGTAAATTCATAGGTTTTCTCTCCAGTATGAATGCTCTGATATCATATGGGGTTCAAAATTTTTTAAATGAAGGCATTTCCACACTGATTTACACCTAAAGGGGGTTATTACCACAAGGAGTAAGCTGTGGCAGGATTTCCAAACTAATTGATGATTCTTTCCTACACAACTAAGTCTAAATTGTGTTTCAAACTCTTTCTAGGTTAAGTTGAAAAAGGTGTTGCCTTAAAAGATATAAGGTTTGAGATCAGAGAAAGTATTTTTCCAATTTTCTTATATTCACTGCTTTTTTCCTCAGTCTGTACTTTACTGGAGCTGGATGCAACTTGCCTCCCAAGTCTTGTTGCCTCTCTATCTGCTCATCATCTTCTCAGGCTTCTTCTAAAATGGAGTACAAAGAATCATCATTTAAAGGAGTTAATGTGCTTAGAACTGTGGCTGGCACATGGTAAGCACTCAATAAATGTTAGCTTTATGTTATCATCATTATTTATGAATTTTCCCATTACTAGTAATAAAATTTCAGATTGTGCTTTTGGGGATGAACTCGGGTAGCCCACCTCAACAGTATGAAAGAATCCTCATGACCAATGTCTCCAACTAAATTTTGAGAAGGAAACCTTTATAGGGGACCCCTGGTTGAAAATTAACATTCATATGTACATAAAGCTTAGATTATTCTTGAAAAATAATCTTTCTTATTTCATAATCCAGCAAATTGAATGTAACAAAAAATGAGGAATTAACAAACAGGATAAAGAGGTGACCACATAAAATTAAGAAAGTCTACCTGGGATTCCTAAGAAATGGAAAAAGGAAAAATCAACTGCTTCCTTCTAAAACTCCATTAAAATGACAAGAAAAGGGAAAATGGTACAAACTCACAAGAAAAAAGAATATGATAGGAGACATCAATACACACAAGTATTAACAAAATTTTTGATAACATAAAGTACATGGAAGATTTTCAACACACAGAAGAGCTGAGGAAGTTCGAATAACATAAAGGTATTCCAGAAGAGGATGCCAATGTCAAGCAAGCAAATTTGTGCCACAAAATATCAGAAAGATTCAGGAAATGAAGGGAAATCAAGTATCTCAAAACAAGGAATGAAGGATTGTTGCTGGGTTAAAAAAAAAAAAGGTTGTGTGAGTTGCAGCTGGACCTCTACTGTCAGTCAGGAGGACAAAGGACCACTCCTCTGTAAGAAATGGAAGTTATTCTTTGCAGAAATTTAATCAGAGCAGCTCTAGTCTCAGGGACACTCAACAAATGAGATGACAGGTGCTATACTGAAATCAATGGGATCTATATGTAATATGGTGAAACCTCCAGTTCCATTATGCAGCTGATGCCAGAAATTGTTGGCAGCCTGTGAGCAGGATATGAAAGGACCCTTTTCTGGACAAACTGAAAGGCCAGTGAAAAACTTAAACAGGATGCCCACCATCTAAGATGATACTTGTTGCTTGTACTCTTTTTTTTTTTTTTTTTTTGCTGAAATGAAGTACCTGGCCACACCTGAGTTCATGAGAGTAAGGCAGTATAACGCTTCTGCAGGAGGAGACCCTGAGTCCATGAGGCATTCTATTTTTCACCCACTAAAGCCTACCAGATGACTAGAAGCACCCAGGCATGAAAGAGCTTACGTTTTAGTGAATCATTCTTAAGTATGACTGTGCAGCCAGTGTTCCACACACATTAGAGGAACCCCACTAACATGACAGATCAACATTGAGAGAAAAAAGCAAGTCTAAGGAAATAAAGGTAAGGCACAGCAAACAACAAAACCCTAAAAACCAATCACAGTTATGAGAAGATATTTTATCAGTGAAACAATAACAGGATTCTGTAAGCAAGAAGCAGAAAGAAAAAGTTCCCTTACAAATTAAGACTGGGGTTGAGGGGGTGGTGAGGGGGAAGGTGGTAAAGTAGACTGTATTACCATTCACCAATAACAGAGTCTCCTAAGCACAGAGGGGTCATACTGTTAATATGAGCACAGGTGACAAGTGTCATTTCCTAGTAGAAGTTTTGTTTGTTTTTTTGGGGGGGAACGCCTCAGCTTGCAGGATCTTAGTTCCCTAAAACCAGGCATCCAACCCGGCCCCCAGCAGTGAAAGCGCTGAGTCCTAACCACTGGAATGCCAGGGAATTCCCTCTAGAGACTTTTTTCCCCTCTTTTTTTTCTTTCTTTCCTTTTTTGGCCACACCACGCAGAATGTAGGATCTTAGTTCCCCGACCAAATATCGAACCTCTGTGCCCTGCAGTGGAAGTGCGGAGTCTCAACCACTGGACCTCCAGGGAAGTCCTCTCTAGAATTCTTAAAAGGCCCACTTGGTACCCCACACAATGAATAATAAAGATGCATACCTAGACACATCACTGTGACATTTCAAAACAGAAGAGGCCATAAATGCTCTCAGAAAAAAGAACATGTATCATTCAAAGAAAAAGGAATCAGAATAAAATTTCCCAACAGAAAGACAGGAAGCTAGAGAGAAAATTCTGAGAGAAAAATTTTAAGCTTAGCCTATCAATCTAATAAGACAGTCAAATAAATCCATTTTTCAGATATGCAAATGCCCAAAAATGCACCTTTTCTCCCAGGATGGTACTAGAAGATGTGTTCCACCAAAATTAATAGACAGAGAAGGCAACAGATATAGAATCCAAAAAAGAGGGGATGAATAGGGGAAAAAGTGAAGAAAATTTCTATGATAATGGTGATGAAAAGCTATAAGGTAAAAGCTGACTATCAAGTCAGAGTACAGCCAGTCTAGACTGAAGCAGGAAAACAAAAATTCTAGAAGTAATATCTCTAAGGGGAAAAATGGAAGGAGACTTCCCAATGCATTTGACCATGTAGAAACAAGTATTGAGAGGGCTTTGAACTATTCTGAAGAAAGTCCAAGGGAATCTGTGCTAAATATAGGAAACCAAGCAAGGAAAAGCACTTGGGCAAATCATCTAAGTTGTGAGCTAAACCTAGCCACTTTTCTCATGAAGCACCATTTTTTAATTTATTTTATGGAGCACCACTAATTTGCTTTAAATAAATTAATAAATGCCTTACAAACTATGGTTATTAAGCCTTGGGTATTGTTTGCCAGGAACTTCCTTCAGACAGAACAAAGTAAGACATCATCTCAAGGAAAACAACTGGCAGTATATGTTGCCAATGATAGAATTCAAGTTTTCAAACAAAAATTAGAATTTTGGAAAACCACAAATCCTCCACCATGAGACTGATAGCTTCCCAATACTTAAAAAACTTTTCTAATGAGACTGGTGATGTTAACAAACTGTGATGTTTTGATATTGTATAGTGAGATACATCAACATTTTAAAGATCTCCGTAATTCAACAGACAAATGCATATTACAAAATCATGCATGGGTAAGAGATCCATTCAAAGTTTAAGACAAACCAATGGATTTTATGTAAGAGAACAAAAAAATGTGTTTCAAATTTCACATTATGGCTAATCTTAAAAAAATGATCACTTGTCAAGTGTTGGTATAGTACCAAAGAATATTTACAATTATCTGAAAAGGCTACTAAAATACTTCTCCCTTTTCTAACTACATCTGTGTGAAGCCACAATTTTTTAATATACTTCAACCAAAACAACAGGTTACAATAGCAGATTCTGCTATCTCCTATTAAGCCAGACAATAAAGATATTTACAAACATGCAAAACAATGCCACTCTTCTCACTAAATTTTTTTATTTTGGAAAATTGTTATTTTTATTAAGAAACAATGTAAGTTTATATGTGATGGGGTTTTTTTAAATTAATAAATGTATCTAAAAGTTTCAATTTTTTGTTAAATAAAGTAAACATCACAAAAGTCCACATAATAAACCAAAGCTCTTTGCGGGTCCTCAAGTTTTAGGACTGTAAATTTTATTGCTATTGGGTATGGGGTTTCCTTCTGTGGTGATGAAAATGTGGTAATGGTGATGACTGCATGACTTTGTGAATATATGAAAAACTACTGAACTGTATACCCTAAAAGGGTAGATCTAGTTAGCTGAATTATATCTTAATAAAGCTGTTATGTAAGAAAAAGAAAAAAAAAATGTGAAGAGTTCCTAAGACCAAAAAACTTTGAGAACCTGATGCTCAAAACATTTCTCATTATTCATTCCACAAATACCTTCTTCTTTCCTACTATGTGCCTGGCACAGTTCTAAGCTCCAGGGATAAACACTACTGAATAAAACAGACAAAATTTTCTGCACCCATCAAGTTTATATTCTAGTGGACAGAGACAAATAGTAAACAAATGAAGGAGATGGTTTGTTAACACGTTTTAAGTGATATGGGGTAAAATTAGGGAAGGGATAGAGTTTCAATTTCAGATGGAGAGGCCTCTGAGAAGGCAAGATTCAAGACATGAAGGAAGAAAGAGTGATCTGGAGGAACAGCATTCTAAGCAGTAGTTAAGTAAGTTCAGAGGCCCTGAGGAAAAGCCTGCCAAGCATGTTAAATATGCAATCAGTGAGTCACAATTACATATATTATGTTCCTTATATCCTTTGGCTTAGCCTGATCCCCTCCTATTTTTTACACTTCTTAGAATTCACAGAACCTCCTGGAAGCAGCTCCAGTAACATGCTCTTAAAAAGACTTCTCCAATCTTGTCTCTTACTTCTAAATATCTTTCCCTTAACTACTAATCACAATCACATTCACTTTTCTTAAAATAAGTGTTTCATATGAAATATTTTTAAACCCAAATTTGTATGTAGCTAAGTCTTAACATGCTAACTATAATCTGAGATGCTGGATTGCAGTAACAGCTCCACTCTTTTCTTTGGATGGCTGATAGCAAGTATTTTTTAAATATAGGGGGCATTACCAAGGGGGAAAAAAGGAGGGGAGGACAGTTTAGAGTTTAAAGACTAAAAAGACAACAACCAAACCCAAAGTTTAAACCTTGACTGGATTCTGGTATTTAAAAAAAAGCTATAGAGGGAGCTCCCTGGTCGTCTAGTGGTTAGGATCTGGCGCTTTCACTGCTGTGGCCTGGGTTCAATCCCTGGTCAGGGAACTGAGAACCCACAAGGCTCGAAGAAGCCAAAAAAAAAAAAAAAAAAAAAAAGCTACAGAAAGTATTTTGGAGATAACTGGGGAATCTGAATACGGACTATTACACAATATTAGCACATTATGACTAATCATCTAATGTGTGGTAACGGTATTTTTGTTATATAGAGGGATGCCAGTATTTTTAGAAAATGCTTACTTAATTTTTTAGGAGTGAAATGTCATGCTGTTTGTGTGCTGTAGTGCACACAATACACATGCACTGGGATACAGATACATCAAACATGGCAAAATACTAACTATTGAATCTGTGTGGTGGGTATAGAGGAGATCACTGTACTCTTCTTTCAGTGTTTTATGGTGTTTGAAGATGTTAAGAATTGATTAAAAAAACAAATCTTCCACAATAATAATTCAGATTATTTAACAAGTTACACATGTGTAATCAAAACTGCAAACAGAAAATATAAAACATGGGCCTTCCTTTCAACAAGTTCATAAGATATCCAGACATAAAAACAAACAAACAAAAAAACACTTAAGATGGTATTTACTAAGGACTTTTGAATTTCTGTGGAAAATGTGAAGCAGGATGGACAATCAGAAAGGAGATCAAAAAAAGAGGAAGTAACAGGTTTAAATAAGCAGGAACTAAATAGGTAGGGTATTTCATAATCAAAGGCCAAGATTCAAATAATTTTATAGAAAGGAAATATGTTCACATTTATATTCACATGGTTAATATGCCCTCTCTTGATTAGAACAAAGTATATCTTTTAAAAGGTTTGACTGACCATATCACAAGGACCATAAGAAAAGAAATAATCCAGACCTAATTTGAAAATGGTTTGAAGTAACGTCTGGACCTGAAATAATGAGCTGAAATCTCTAATTTGGGTAGGATATTAATGATTTCACGGTCTGACACAATGAAAATGAAGTCAATTGGATAGTTGTTTATCCCGTAAACAGGTAAAATCATGGTGGGCAAGGTCTAAAAAGCCTGGAGGTGCCAAAATAAAAATTGATATTTATAGAAAGAATTACTTCTAACTTCAGAATGAATGAGTCACTTTCTAGGAATCAGTTTATAAAGGGAAGGAGGAAAGGCAGAATACAAAGTTCCAGAAGCCACCTCCAGTAAGAGGATGGGGGGGGGGGGGCTCAAAAGATAAGGAAACACTTAAGACAGAAAAAGCAACATCTCAGGCCATCAAAGCACCAATCAAGCTGAAGTGGGAGAGAATTCCTAGAGGAGGGACTCAAACGTAACATAAATAGATGCTTTCTTCTAAAATGATAAAGACATCTCTGCTCACTTTATGCCTGTGAAGGAGAAAGGTAAAGAGGAAAAAAAGGGAAAACGGCATTGTTGATAAGAGTAGGAAGTAGCTATAATTCTAATGTCTTATGAGAAAGGATATGAGTGGGCAGCTGCCATTGCTGTTTTTAGGAAGAGCTCTCATGCACAATGCTCTCCAAAAACAAAAGGCACAGCTTCAAGGGCCATTATCACTACCTCCTTGTTTCTAACAACAGAATCCAGGAATGTAGGCTGGATGCAGGAGACTTGGTGGACACTCTGGCATCCCTGGGTGGTAAGAAAAGTTAACACTGAGCAAGGAAATGCAGAGACGCCATCACTGAATAAAGCAGCTTATTAGTACAGCAAAACAGAAGTCATCACAAGTTTCTATCTCCCTAAATTCCTGACTTGTGCATCCAACTGTCTACCTGAATATGCACTTAGATGATGGACCAGGAGATATGTCACAATTAACGAGTCCAAAAGAAAACTCTTGATCTCCCAAAATTCCTGAAGTCTTCCTATCTCAGTAAATGGTAACTCATCCTCTTCTAGTTAAAGAGTCATCAACAACTCCTCTTTCTCTCATAACCAACATAAAATAAGTCAATCTTGTCAGCTGTTTCTTTAAAATATCTTAAGAATCTGTGTGTCACTAAGTACAATTACTACCTAGATTACTGCAATAGCCTCCCATTAATCCCCTCTACCATGTTTTCTTTATAGCAGCCAAACTGTAATTCTGATCTTTTCACTCCTCACCTCAAATCCCCCCGCTTTTTTCCCCAAATATTTCATTTTTATTAGAGTATTTTTTTGGGGTGGTAGAGCATATTACAATCTCAATTATCCTAACAGGCTTTTAAAGGAAAGCAGTTCTGGGACGTCCCTGGTGGTACAGTAGTTAAGACTCCAAGCTCCCAACGCAGGGGGCCTGGGTTCGATCCCTGGTCAGGGAACTAGATCCCACGTGCATGCCGCAACTAAGAGTTCACATGCCACAACTAAAGAGCCGGCAAGCTGCCAACTAAGGAGCTCACAAGCAGTGCCGCAACTAAGGAGGAAACGAGCTGCAACTAAGGAGCCGGTGAGCCACAACTAAGAAGCTACCAAGCCACAACTAAGAACTGGCACAACCAAATAAATAATAAATATTAAAAAAAAAGAACCCAGAATTCCTTCAGGTTCACATGCCTGGGAGGAGCAGGGGAAAAAAAAAGGAAAGCAGTTCTATCTGACAAGGAGAGAAGAACCAATGTTTAGGGAATGGTTATTAAGCAGAGAGGAGTAGAGTAACTCTTCCTCCATATGTCAGCAAACTTGAATACACTCAGCTTTGATACCTTGCCAACTTGCAAAGCATCTAATGGTGGCTTGAGCCACAAGGGATAAATGAATTATGGTATTTAACAATATTTATTGCTTGACTACTGGCTTCATACAATTTGGTGATTTACCTCAAAACCCTTTGATGGTCTCCCAAAATCACTCAGAATAAAGGCCAAAGTCTATGATTTGGCCTGTTAACCTAACCAAACCTATTCTTACTTCCTTTGTTCACTCTGCTCCAGCCCACTGCCCTGATCATTATTTCTTGAACAGCACGCTTCAGCCTCAGGGTTTTTAAGATTTTGTTCCTTTTGGCCGAACGCTCTTCCACCAAATACTGTACTCCCCACTCTCATACTCTTAAATGCCATCCTCTTAATGAGACCTTTCCTTGACCAACTTCTTTAAAATTATAACCCCTCAACTTGCCCTCTCTATGCCAGTTTTCCTTGCTTTACTCTTCTGCATAGGACTCACCACCAACTGATAGAATATATCTTTTACCTATTTATTCATAGTCTGTCTTCCCCAATTTGAATATAGGCCTCAAGAGGGAGGAATTTTTGGGCTTCTCTGGTGGCGCAGTGGTTGAGAGTCTGCCTGCCGATGCAGGGGACACGGGTTCGTGCCCCGCTCCGGGAAGATCCCACATGCTACGGAGCGGCTGGGCCCGTGAGCCATGGACGCTGAGCCTGTGCTCCGCAACGGGAGAGGCCACAACAGTGAGAGGCCCGCGTACCGCCAAAAAAAAAAAAAAAAAAGAGAGAGAAGAATTTTTTACTGCTTTGATCACTGACATTTCCCTAGTAACTGAACTGATGCCAAATTCAAATCATTCAGTAAATACTTATTGAATATACGAATATACTACGTTGGTAGAAATGTAAATTGGTTTACTTCTCTTGAGAACAATGTGCCTATTTCTATCAAATCTATAAAAAAACATAACTTTGACCCAGCACTTCCACTTAGAGTAAATTATGATGTAACTATATCTGCACATCTCTGCAAAGCAATATAAACAAGTATATGCACTTACATCTTCAATTGCATAAGCCTGGAAACAACCTAAATGTCCATTAGTACGAGACAGGTTAAACAAATTAAATGTTGATACAGAAAAAAAGAAAACTAGGTACACAATACATACCACCATTTACATGAAAAGGAAAACTGAGGGCTTATATATATTCATATTTGCAGCACAGATACATAATATATGCTGGTTTATTCGTAGACTACCTCAAGAAGGATACATGTGAAACTCTTAAAAGTGACTGCATCTTTGAAAAAGAACTACAGGACTCAGGGTCAGAACAGCAGACTTTTTCACTGTATACCTGATGTTCAAAAATTTTTACAAATTCACGTTAAACTAAAAAACAAATACAGACTCATACATCCATACACACACACACAGCAGACAGGCAGAATTGACTTCTAAGGCAAAAACTTCTGAAAGAGGTACAGGGGGGCAGAAGGGAGTGAGGCAGGAGTTTGTTGATGTATAATGGGGGCGTTGGATAAGAAGACAACAGGAAGTGTGATTACAGATGTAAAATATAATGCTGAGGCATTTAACCACTAAAAGAATTAGAGAAATTGGTAAGTAATAAAAAGGAACCTAAATATCAGATAATATATAAAGACTTAAGACATATAAAAGAATGCACAAAGGAGTCTATACACATCAGGGGATATGAGACTGAAGGCATCATGAAAGAGAGAACAATGACACAGAGGCAGTACAAATGAAGTGCTAAGTGCTGACATGCAGAATAAAGGTAAGAGGGGAACCTGGTCCTCTAGCATCTGATTAAAGGAGTAGACTACTAAAAGAAAAAATGACTGGAAATGTCCTTCAGGTTTCTAAAGAATTCATATCAAGTGATATTCTAAGACTAGGGCCTGTAAGAAAACATCCTTAAAAGCATTTCAGAGGTGGCAATGCCGACTGAACAACTGTGACCTGCCTGGTTGTGATGCACTCACCTGGACAAATTTCCTTTACACTTCTTTCTCCACCATCCACAGTTCGTCTTCTTGCTTCAACAGAGGATCACATACAGCTTGGCCAGCTTATAACCTGCTATTGGGGAAATGACACAGCACTAGAATGTTAATGCTGGAGCCAAAGTTCTGTCCTAGAACTCAGGCTGAGCCCTGGGGCCTCCTGGCCTTCTGAAGGATGAGGAAGGTGCAGTCTCCAGGAATGCACAAGGAAGCGACCCTGTGAAAAAGAACAAAGTAATGACTTTTTGTCTTAGAGATTAAAGCACACACAACTATATGAGCAAAGGGACTATTTGGGTCCTGAATTTCAAAGCCATACACTCATTCAACCTTTTAAGGCTCCACACATCCAGAAATGGAGGAAGAAAGAGGGAATGTATTTTGAAAATTTGACCTACATAGGAAAAGCTGTTCATACCTTACATGACTGGCTGCTACTGTTCTCTAGCACCACATTCCTATGTAGGCTAAGTGGATTTTAACTGTGGCCCTTATTCCTGGATGAAATTCAATACTCATATCTATGACTATAACAACATACACCTAACAGAACTAAGCCACATGGATAAAGTTGTTCTTGACAGTATTCAGGAATAAAAACTGAAGTTTTCCTGGAGTCCTAATATTTACTTTGTTAGCAATATCCTCTGAAAGAAACTATATACTAAAAATGTCCTGTAAATATATGTTCATCCACACATTCAAAAAAAATGTTTTTAAGAACATTATTGGGACAATGGACAAAATTTGAATATGGATTTTGAATTAAACAATAGTATTGACATTACATTTTCTGATTTTGATTACTGTACCATGGTTATGTATAAGAATGTCCTTATTCTTAGAAAATTTATGCTGAAGTATTTGCAGATAAAGGGAGCATGTATACAACTTAGTCTCAAATAGTTCAGAAAAAAAATGTACACACATATTTGGAGAATAAGAGAAGGAAAAATAAAGCAATAAAAAAGTAAATGATTGGTGAATTTCGGTAAAGGGTATATGGGACTTTTCTGCACATATACCCTTCTCTAGAAAGGGTACATGCAACTTTTCTATAAAGTTGAAATCATTAAAAAAAAAAAAGCAAAATCCTAAGTTACTACTTATACACTCTATCTACTATGCGTTGAAAAAGCTTGGTCACCAGCTTGTACTGGGGTGTGGCAGATGGAAGGCTTAGAGCCTGCTTTAAACAGTAATATACACAGAGATAAACATGAGAGAGCAAGTTGCCTAGAAACAGCCTGCAAAAGGAGATCAAGTTTGATCTTCTGGACATTCAGAGTGTCAGGTTTCTGAGGATCATGCAGGCAAGTATATCCATTACACAACTGCATATATAAATTAGGAGCTCAGAACAGCCTAGAATGGAAATGGGAATTTGTCAGTTGTCAGAATATCACTGCTGTTGAAGACAGGTGGAATACTACTGTGACTGCTTATAGAGAACATACACAGTCCGTGAAGATGGTCAAGGATGGAATCCTAGGAACACCAAAGGTCAAGGACACAAGGAAAGGTTTCACAGGAGCATGGTGGCTGTTTAGCTTCAATCTTTCAAATACTTTTCCTGAAAACCATATAAAACATCAAAAATAGTGGGGTAATGGGGAGAGTGGAACAAGGGGGCAAGAAGCTAATCCATACACTACATCTGTAGTGAAACTAGTAGAGAAAATTTATGTTAACTCTAAATTATTTGTAAGTGCGGACCAAAAACCCAAAATAGCCGAAGTGGTATAGGAACCACAATAGTGTAATAGGTGTAGCAAGAAAGACTAGATAATAGCGAGAAGTCTTTGAGGTAACAGATCTCAGAAATAACTAGCAAATATTCATTCTCAGAATGAGGGATTCACCCTGAGTGAGAACTGTTGTAATGAAGTCTAATCATGAACAAGACTAGCCACAAAAGAAAAGACAAACCCCCAAACTCCATGTACCTCTGCCAAAGGGAAACCCAAACAGGAGGCCTAAAGAAGTTACAAAGAAGCCTAGGAAGAACTCAAAACGCTGAGGGAGATTCTCAGGACTTAAAGAGTTCAGAAATCTGCAGCTAGTATTTCCTTACAGAACGAGTAGACCTTACCCTAAGACGGAACTAATGAAAGCAAGACCTAGATTAAACAGAAAGAGACTGCAGGGGAAGCAGAAAGAGCAGGCTTATAAAGTACTTGGGGGCTTCCCTGGTGGTGCAGTGGTTGAGAATCCTCCTGCCAATGCAGGGGATATGGGTTCGAGCCCTGGTCCGGGAAGATCCCACATACTGCGGAGCAACTAAGCCCATGCGCCACAACTACTGAGCCTGCGCTCTAGAGCCCCCTCGCCACAACTACTGAAGCCCCTGCGCCTAGAGCCCTTGCTCCGCAACAAGAGAAGCCACCATAGTGAGAAGCCTGTGCACCACAACAAAAAGTAGCCCCCGCTTGCCACAACTAGAGAAAGCCCATGCACAGCAACGAAGACCCAACACAGCCAAAAATAAAATAATAAATAAATTTATATATTAAAAAATATAAAGCAGGGCTTCCCTGGTGGTGCAGTGGTTGAGAGTCCACCTGCCGATGCAAGGGACACGGGTTCGTGCCCCGGTCCGGGAAGATCCCACATGCTGCGGAGCAGCTATGCCCGTGAGCCATGGCCGCTGAGCCTGTGCGTCCGGAGTCTGTGTTCCGCAACGGGAGAGGCCACAACAGTGAGAGGCCCGCGTACCGCATTAAAAAAAAAAAAAAAAAAAAAAGCAAATGCATCATCCTGGAAGGCAAGTACTATGAAGATTTATGGGAAACAGAGAGATGGAGATAAAAGTCGGCCTCAACCAGGTTAGGGTCATCTAGCCAGAGAAGGTGTGGAAGCCCTCTGCTTTTAAACACTAGAAGAGGCACATGAGCTTTGAAGTATAGAATGCTACTATGTTTCCTTTTTCCTGGTACTTGTCTATGAATATCTACCTCATACAAACATGAGAAACACAAGATATTTTGTCTGTGTCCATACAAGGATGCTTTAAAGAAAACAGTGGCAATGAACACCATAATTTTCCAACAGTTAAACTCACCTGAAAATACTGCCACAAGTAGATAAAAAATGAAACACAATGTAACAAAATTAATTTTTTAAAAAAGACATAAAAACTTTAAGAAGCAAGCAAAGCTATAAAAAGAACACAAAAGATAAATGGAGAAACTGATTTAAGAAATGGTCACCCAAAAGGAGGAAATGGAAAGAAAATAGCAGTGGACATCTTATTTTTGTTATATTTGACTTTTTTTTAAGACTGCAGCTATCAGAGTTTAGAGGGATTTTTATTTCCTTGATTAATGTGATCTTTCCTGGTTGTTGTATCTAAGGCATAACAGTGGTCTCAGCCTTAAACGTTTTGTTTCTACTCACATCCCCAGAGACCCAGGCAGCATGGGTAATTTATACATATATAGGTAATCATAATCTATATCTGACCACGAAAGCCAGCATCTTATCTAATGCAAAAATATTGAAGGCATTTCTATTAAACTCTAAATAAAGATAAGGATGCCCACTGCCTCATTTAAAAATATAATTATAAACAATAATTCGGTAAATTAAGCAGGGAATAAAATTAACTTATAGAAATCAACAAACTTTGGGACTTCCCTAGTGGTGCAGTGGTTAAGAATCCGCCTGCCAATGCAGGGGACACGGGTTTGAACCCTGGTCCGGGAAGATCCCACATGCCACGGAGCAACTAAGCCCGTGCACAACTACTAAGCCTGCGCTCTAGAGCCTGCGTGCCTCAACTATTGAAGCCCATGCGCCTAGAGGTCATGCTCCGCAACAAGAGAAGCCACCACAATGAGAAGCCCTCGCACCGCAACGAAGAGTAGCCCCCATCACCGCAACTACAGAAAGCCCGCAAACAGTAACGAAGACCCAACACAGCCAAAAATAAATAAATAAATTTATATATATAAAAAAGAAATCAACAAGCTTTATATATAGCACAATGACTCCATTCATAACAGCAATATAAAAAATAAAGTACTTAGAAATAAACTTAGTAAAAAGTGTCTAAAACCTATATGAAGAAAATATTAAAACACTCTAGGGCTTCCCTGGTGGCGCAGTGGTTGAGAGTCCGCCTGCCGATGCAGGGGACACGGGTTCGTGCCCCGGTCTGGGAAGATCCCACATGCCGCGGAGCAGCTAGGCCCATGAGCTATGGCCGCTGAACCTGCGCGTCTCGAGTCTGCTCCGCAACGGGAGAGGCCACAACAGTGAGAGGCCCACTTACCGCAAACAAACAAACAAACAAACAAAAACCACTCTAGAAGACCCAAAAGTAAACTGGAATATATACAACACATATCATAGACAAGAATATTTAATATTATAAAGATCTAATGTCCCTTTTGCTAAGTTATTTTACAAAATTTAATGCAATATCAGTAAGTTTTCTTCTAGAATTAGACAAGCTGATTCTAAAGTTTACACAGAAAAATAAACAAGAATTAGGAAACTGAAAAAAAAACAAGCAATAAGAGTAGCTATAATAGATATTAAAACAAAATTATAAAGCATCCATACTAAAAAGATAAATATTGGTACACGAATATAGGCTGGAAGATGGATGAGAATATAAAGTCCAGAAATAGACCAAAAACACGAGAATTTAGTATATGATCAAAATGGAATCTTAAAATAGTAGAGTTAAGGCGTTTTAATAAATGGTGTTGGAAGAACTGGGTAGCCTATTGGAAAAACATAAACCTGGATGCAAACCTAAATATCATACACGAGGATATGAAAACCCATAGAAATTATAATCTTTTAAGGATTTGAAAGTATAGGTGAAACTTGGAGTGGGAAAGGCTTTCTATGACCATAAATGGAAAGACTGATAAATCTATTACATAAAAATAAAAACTCCCCGATTCCACACGGTTTAAAAAAACAAACCAATGTGAACAATATCAAAACACAAATTTAAAACTTGGAAAAAAAACTGCAACTCATTTCACATAGGGCTAACCTTTCTAATGTAATTTAACAGCTCCTAGAGGAAAGAGACACCCCATAGTAAAAGGAGAAAAAGGATATGAACAGAGTTCCCAGATAAGTACGTGTGGCCCTTAAACATATGGAAGATACTCAACCTCACCCATAATAGAGATGTAAATTAAACCTACACTGAGATACCAATTTTCACTCATTCCTTTGGCAAAAAAAAATATGTAACTCTACATTGTGATGATAAGGTTCTAGGAGGAAAGGTGTTCTTGTAGATTGCTAATGGAAATGAAAGTACTTAGCCCTATGTGCAATTCTACTTGTAGCAATCTACTTTAGAGATAATCTTGCATAAGTACAAAATGACACAGATGAAAAATTATTCATTACTGCAGTAACAGCAAAAGACTGGAAACAACCCAAATGTCCAAGAGCAGAATCAACTACGGTACATGCACACAATGGCATCTTATTTATAAGGCAGTTAAAAAGAAAAATATATATATAATGATTAATAAAGGATATCTCCGGGACGTATTGTTAAGTGAAGAAAGTGAGGAACACAGATGTACATCTTTTACGTAAGGACAGTGGGGGATAGGAGGGAAGAATAAACATACACTAATGGCCCAACAAACAAAAAAAAATCTACTTGAAGGATAAAGAAACAAAAAAACAAGAAACTATATTTAATTGGGACAGAGAGGAATGTGATGGGGGGGGGAGCAGAATGAGATATCTCTATGAGATACAGTTTTTGTTGAATCACCGAAATGCATTATTTACTTTTTATATGATCAAATTGATTTTTTGAAAAAGCAATCCCTGAACTTGAAAACAAACTGAAACAAATGAACTCAACTGTACATTAACTTGGTAACATAATTCCTCAAAGAAAGGATTTATTTCAAATGACTTTAGAACAGAGAACTTTGACTACACATCTTTCCTGGGATGCATTCTAAGGACAAAAATAGCTACAAAGAAAATTTTCACATGATACAGTATGTTTATGGTTACTACTATCAACATTGTTATTTTTGAAACCATTTTTTTTTATAGTGGAGGATAAAGCAAATAATCCTATACTTATTTTAACCTGTTCCAAAATTTTTACTATAAAATACAATTAGGGGCTTCCCTGGTGGCACAGTGGTTGAGTCCGCCTGCTGATGCAGGGGACACGGGTTCGTGCCCCAGTCCGGGAGGATCCCACATGTCGCAGAGCGGCTGGGCCCAGGAGCCATGGCCGCTGAGCCTGCGTGTCCGGAGCCTGTGCTCCGCAACGGGAGAGGCCACAGCAGTGAGAGGCCTGCGCTCTGGAGGCCACAAGCCACAACTGCTGAGCCCACACGCCACAACTACTGAGGTCCGCGCGCCTGGAGCCCCTGCTCTGCAACAGGAGAGGTCACCACGATGGGAGGCCCACGCACCACGGCGAGGAGTGGCCCCTGCTCTCAGCAACTGGAAAAAGCCCACGCACAGCAATGAAGCCAGTGAAGCTGAAAGAGGGGAGGGGATGGGGGAGGGGAGGTAGGGGAGGGGATGGGGGGGAGAACGAACATCCAGCACCCAGATCTTGGTCTCCAATACCACTCTCCAGTAAAAGGAACCAGAGCTCCTTGAAGAAATAGCTAATTCCAAGTCTGGGAGGGAAGGTACAAGATGGGCCTGGAGTGCAAGATAGCTTTCAAAGTTAAATGGGGGCAAGTTAAAATGAGACTGGAGTTAGCATGAAGGAATGTCCACTGACTAAAACTGTGACAGTATGACTATCAAAAAGAAAACTAGCTGCAGTTATTAGAGCACAACTTTAAAATGATGCTTAAAGAAAAAGCCAGGATAAATTTGACACAATTTGAGGTAGCAATCAAATAAATGTAAAAGAAATGAAAAAACTAGAAAATCACTTTGCAACCTTGAAGAAATTATTGATTCAGCTAAGGATTATTTATTGGTGTTAAAACCATTCATTAAATGATTGATGGGCAATGGACATTTGTACTGTGCCAAATTATGAAACCATACAGATTACACTTTGGTCATAAAGGGGAAAATACAATCACTAATGGTGGACCAGTCATATATTTCTGTCCTGATGTTATGCAATTTGAAGATCACCTCTGATGTAGTCTGACCCAAAACAGGTCACAATTAGGATTTTTAAAGAACATCATCAGAGGCTCTGAATTAGAACCATGAGAAAGTAACCATCATAGAAATCAAAGAACAAATCTCATGAAGGAGGCAGTGATGAATTTCTAAGGATGAATGTAACCTGAACAAAGAACTCTAACTTCCTCATTCCCGTTACAAAAGAAAATGTCAAAAAAAAAAAATGCTTAAACATTGAAATTAAAAAAGAGCATCTACATATCTGAATCTTTCAGAAAATTTTACCAGAAACAGTAAGAATGAATGTACTGTTTCTGAGGAAATTTTTTGTCCCTTTCTGAATTTTCTAAAAATTTTTATTTTATATTGGAACATAGTTGATTAACAATGTGCTAGTTACAGGTGTATGGCAAAGTGATTTAGTTACACCCATACAAGTATCCACTCTTTTTCAAATTCTTTTCCTATTTAGGTTATTATATTGATCTGAGTTCCCTGTGCTATACAGTAGGTCCTTGTTGGTTATCTATTTTAAATATAGTACTGTGTACATGTCAATCCCAAATTCCCAGTCTACCCCCCCCCCCACACACACACACTCTTTTCCTCTGGTAACCATAAATTCATTCTGAGTGTTTGCTTTGCAAATAAGTTCATTTGTATCATTTTCTAAAGATTCTGCCTATCATATTTGTCTTTCTCTGTCTGACTTAACCTCACTTAGTATGATAATCTCCAGGTCCATCCACCTTGTTGCAAATGGCATTATTTCTGAAGAAGTATTATTCTGTAGATAGTAACAATAGTACTACTTAAAGTTTATCCAGTACTACTAAGTAATAAGGCACTATTCTTTAGAACTCCTCCATCTACACAACTACTCTGTGAATCAGATACTATTATTTTCTCTATAATACTGGATGAGAACCTGAGGCACAAGGGATTACCTGCCTAAGGTCACCAAGGTACAAAGTGGCAGAGGAAAGAGTCTGGTTCTATGGCCTACTTTTAAAAAAAAAGTACTTTGACTTTTGAATATATACTAAATTCATATCGTTAGGGGAAAAAAAACAAAACAAAACATAGAAAGCTATTTGCCCTTGTCCTATCTATGCCAGTACCTCTACCCCCAACAGAGGTAGCCACTCTTACTAGTTTCTTGTGGATCTTGTTTCTTAAAGGAAACAAATACAAGTATATATTCTTATCTCTCCCCTTTCTTACTCTAAATGAAGCATACCATATATTCTGCATCTTGCATTTTTCACTTAATACATTTCTGGAGTTATTTCAGTGTCAGTATACAGAAAGCTTCCTCCTCATTCTTTTATAGAGCTGCAAATTATTCTGTTGTATACATACATCATAATTTTATTGAACCAATCTCCTACTGATGGGCATGAATTGTTTCTAATCTTTTCCTATGTGAAACACTGCTGCAATGAACAACCTTGTACCTGTACAACTTCATGTAAATTCAGGTATATTTGAAGAATGAATTTCCATCTGTAAAATAAGTCAAAAAGAAAATACATTTGTAGTTATTATACATACTGCTGAATTGCCCTTCATAGGCCTGCTTCCTGCTAATACCAATACTATTTTAATTTCTGAGGATTTAAAATGTTACTGTTGGGGGAATTCCCTGGTGGTCCAGTGGTTAGGACTCTGCGCTTTCACTGCTGAGGGTGCCTGTTCAATACCTGGTTGGGGAACTAACATCACAAAAGCCCAGGGGAGTGGCAAAAAAAAAAAAAGTAAAATGTTACTGTTGGGCTCCCACCTCCCCACACCCCAACTGCTTTCCTTTTTCATAGTTTTACTAGCTATTCTAGCTTGTCTATTTTTCCATATGAAGTGCAGAATCAGCTTACCTAGGTCCAAAAAAAAAAAAAAACTGGATACTTTTATTGGGATAACATTAAATTAATAAATTTACTTAAATTAAATTTGCACACACTTCTTTAAGACGTCTTCCTATTGAAAAACACTGTATATTTGTTCACATCTTATGTTATGCCCTTTAGCAGTATTTTAAAGTTCTTTTCCAATAGTTTTGCACATTTCTTAAGTTTATTCCTCAATTTTTAAAAAACTGTTCTTGTAAATAATGGTTTTCTTCTATTATACCTTCTAACTGGCTGTGGTTTGTCTATCTGAAGGCTACTAATTTGTAGATATTGATTTGGTCCCCAATTATTTACAATCACGTGAAGGATAACTGAAGGTGGATTCTTACTTTTTCGTTACTTCACAAAATCCATACAACCTGGGAACACCTCCACGCGTTTAGGAGTTAGGACAACTAACTAGTCCAGACTCATGTATAAACACTGAAGGAACTAAGTTTTTTTCAAAGAACGAGGATAACCGTGCCGAACCTAGAACCCCAAACCCTTGACTCCCCAGTCCTCGGCCTTCTGCACTATTTGACACTGCTTCTCAACATGTAAGACTGATATTTACTCTAAATTAACAGGAGACCTATTAAAGTACCCCAAAGATCAGAAGATTTGAGACCGTTTGAAGCAGGCTCCCCATAACAAAAATTTCCTTTGAAATATTTTTGTTTAAAAAAAACACGGTGATTTGCATTCTACCCCAATTAAAAACAAACGCGCTTTTATACAAAAGTCCATTTAAAAAGTATTTACCACTTAGCTTTTATATCACCCTTCAAATCTTCAAGTAAATTAGATGTTCCAGGAAGACGGCACCGTTATTATCAGCACTTTCGACACGGGAAGTGCCGCTCGGATGTTATTTTCTCAATGCTGGTTTCCTACATCTCTCTCTCTTAGAAACAACCATACACAATGCTGCACCCACAGTTTCTCCCTCAATCTCAAACATCCGATCAAACTTGCGGTCAAACTCAGGGTCATGCACGCTCGAACCCTCCTCAGAGGCCCCCACCCCCACCCTACATGTAGGCCAGAAGCTCTTAAACCCACTCCCCACCCTCGCGCCGCACCCCAATAAATCTAGAATCCTTTTCTTCAACCTCCCAGACCCCATCGGCCCAAGACACCCACATCCCACCTCCTATTTTCGCGCCACGTGGATCCAGGGGCCGGACTGACCCGCGGACAAAGACCAAAATGTCCACTCGGTGCGCTGCGCCTGCGCACTCCGAGGCCGAGTGAGCACTCCCAGAAATCTCCGCGATGAGGCCCGCACGGTCACCGCGGCCAAGCGCAGGCTGGTATCTGATTACCGTCTATCTACAGCAACGCCGCTTTTCCAGCCTTGGACTACATTTCCCTTAAGGCTTTGCTGGTCGACATTCTATGTCTCTCCGTCTGTCTTTCCCACGCGAACTTGGCGGCCTCTTCCTGTGATTATGATGCTCTCAGGGTGAGTACTTTTGCCTTGGAGGAATATCAGCTCAAGCCTGGTGGAAGGTTTGGAGCCGGAACCCCACCCCGTCTTTGAAGCCTCCCGAAGGCAGCGTCAAACGGGCCAAGCCCATACTCTGAGGTTATGCGGACGCCATCTTCTCTGTAGCTGGTCTGGCTCTGGACTACATTTCCCAGAGTCCACAGCGGCCCAGCGTTACGTCTCTCTTGACGTCGTGGCGAGGTCGTTAGCTTCTCAGGGCCCCGGACGCGACCACGGGGAGGCAGAAGGTGAGGGGTCTGGGAGTCCGGGGCGGGGACAGGGCGTGTCCAGAGAGCCTTGGATTTTTGCGCGCTGGCGCGAGCGGGCTAAAAATGCACAATTCTGAATGTGTCTTTGTGTGTCATGGTGGTGAGTAGATTGTGCGACTGTGTGTGCCTTAGTGGGTGTGAGATTGTGGCTGTGTATAAGGCTGTGGAGGTGTCTATGATCGTGTTTCATTGTGTGTCCTAAGAGTGGCTATGTGTTTGTGTGACATTGACCATTTGTTCAGCACCAAGTGTGTGGGTGTGAGGTGCCTGTGACTCCAGTACTCTGACAGATTTTGGCCCGGGACAGTGATAGCCTCAGCCTTTCCCTGTAACACCGAAATTGGGCATGATGTCCAGTCTTCTCTGCTCTCCCTCCCCTGTGTGGGAGGGTCGGGTGATGACCCTTTAAAAATGCCCTGGTCCCTCATGATTGCTTTTGCTTGACTCTTCTCCAAGAGACGTATTGAGAAGAGAAGGAAAGAATTATTATTGAACATCCAAAAGCCAAGTTCTCCGTGTATCAGTTTTTCTTCTTTCCCTGAAACCCTTCTTATTATTCGTGATGTGTGTTAAAAAAAAAAATTTAGCCAAATAAATGTGAAGATTAATTGGCTTTATTCAACAATTCATGAATCAGCCAGCATCCCATCTACCAAGTAGAGAGATACTCTAAGTAGAGAGATACTCCATTTTGGTACAAAATGGAAGGTTTTTATAGGCAGTAGGAAAGTGGTGCAAGGAAGTTAGCAAAAGAAAAGAAAGGATTGTTTTAGGCCGGGACATCTTTTAGGGGAAGGGAATGGCAGGGGTCTTATCATGCAGATTACCTCACTAGTGCTAATCAGGAAATTTCAGATTGATTGTTTAAAGAGCACATTTTCTTTTGTTTGTTTGTTCAGTTTTTATTTAGGAGCACATTTTCTTGAGAGAGATTGAAACTGGAATTGTCTTGTTTGCTGTTATGGGGGCACATGACCCCATTTGGGGCTTTTTTTTTTTAACACGTGCTTTTCCTTCCTTCTTCTGAAACTTTTTGCCTAACAAAGACACACACCACCACCCACCCCCAAGTGAACTGGTGTCCAGTGTTTGCCATTGGAATAAATTACCGAGTGCTATGGAGGTGAACTGAAAGGCCCATACCTTCCATACTCCCTACACACCTAATGTTAATCTAAATGTTTTTAAACTTTTCATTTTTAATTAGCTTTAGACTTAAAACTGTTGCAAAAATAGAATTCCCAAATACTCTTAACCCAGCTTCTCTGTCAAAGCCAGGAGATTAACGCTGATAACCAATCTACAAACCTTATTCAGATTTCATCAGTGTCCCTTAATGTCCCGTTTCTGGACAAGGATCCAATCCAGGATCATATGTTGCAATTAAGTTGGTAACTCTCCTTAGTCTTCTTTTATCTGGAACGGTTACTCAATCTTTGTCTTTCATGACCTTGACACTTTTGAGGTGAACTGGCCGTTTATTTTGTAAATTCTGCAATGTAGAATGTTCCTCAATTTGAGGTTGTCTGATACTTCCTCATAATTAAATTTGGATTATGCAGTTGAGGCAAGACTACCCCAGAATTGATGTATCCTCAGTGCATCTTATCAGGAGACACATGAGATTAATTTGTCTCATTATTGGTGGTGTTAACTTTATTTGCCAGGTTTCTCCACTGCAAAGTCACTCTTTCCATTATAATTAATGTGTCTCAAGGAGAAATACTTTAGGTCTATAAAGTTATGCTGTTTTTCATCCTACTTCCACCTACTATATCCATTGATAATTCCTGCCTGAAAATTTATTACCAGGTATTTGCCAAACGGTGATTTTTTTTTTTCGGATTCTGTTATTCCTTCTACAGTTATTAATTATAATTCTGTTACAAATAGATTTTCCTTCTCCCCATTTAATTTATTTACTAACTTGTATAAGTATAGTCTGGATTTTTTAATACTATAGGTTATAATCCATCACTATCACTATTTTATTGCTCGAATTGTCCCATATTTGGCCACTGGGAAACCCTTTGGATTGGCTCCTGTATCCTTTCAACATATCCCCTTTATTTATTTATTTATTTATTTTTAGTACTTCCTTATTTTCCTGCACCGCAGGATGTTCCAGGTTGATACTGTACTTTCCCAGCCTTAGTCCTGGAATCAGCAAATTTCCCAGGGATCACTGGCTCCTTTTATTAGAAAATTATATTTAGAAACCGAGATTAGATGTGCTTATTGCTACTGGGATATCTTTGCTTCTTGACTTTCTCAGATATGAAATATATGCATCTGTACCCACACATCTGTATCTATCTGTATGTATACCTATACAGATAATCTATGATTTCATATATCTCCAATTCCAGTTCAATACAACAGGGCTTCTTCTAGCCATCTCCATTTCCTTTTCTGTAACTCCTTTCTCTGAGAGTGAAAAACTCGGCTCTCATTAACTACAGTACATTTATTTATTTGCTCAGTCTTGAGTAGAAAGTAGTTCTAACACATATCCCCAAACCCCATATAGTTCTTTTTGTATTTAGTCTTACAGTTCATAGTAAAAATACAGTACCGCCCCCCAAAAAATAAAATAAATAAAAATACAGTTTTCCCTACACCCATCTGTATGGTAATATTACTCATTTGTAATATACATAGGTTCATTTGTTACTGTTTGTATTTGATTTGGGGCTCCCAAACACACATCCTGGTTGATTTTAATTATTTTTTGAGTATGTGAAACATTAACATGGTTCTGAAAGTTAGAATTAGACCAGAAGATCTACTCAGTTACTCCTCCATCATTCCTTCTCTCCCAGTTCCATTCCGCCATTCTTTCCACACTGTGCCCAATCACCCATTACAGGTAACCAACCAATCTCAGTTTGTTGGGGGTTTTTATGGTTAAATATACATAACATAAAATTTACCATTTTAATTATGCTGTTCAGTAACATTAACTCCATTTGCATTGTGCAGCCATCACCACCATTCATCTCCAGAACTTTTTTCATCTTCAAAAACCGAAACTCTGTACCCATCAAACAATAATTCCCTTCGCCCCTTCCTCCAGCCCCTCGAAACCACCATTCTGCTTTTTATCTCTATGAATTAGAATATTCTAGGTACCTCACATAAGTGGAATCATACAGTGTTTGTCCTTTTATGACTGACTTATTTCACTGAGCACAATATCTTCAGGATTCATCCATGTTGTAGCATATGTCAGAATTTCCTTCCTTTTTAAGTCTGAATAATTTTCCATTGTACATATATACCACATTCTGTTTATTAATTTATCATTGGGCACTTGGGTTGCTAACACCTTTTCGCTATTGTGAATAATGCTGCTCTGAACATGGGTTTACGAATATCTGTTCATGTCCCTGCTTTCACTTCTTTGGAGTATATATCCAGAAGTTGAATTGCTGGATCACATGGTATGTTTAATTTTTTGAGGAATCACCATACCATTTTCTACAACAGCTGCACTATTTTACATTCCCACTGGCAGTGAACAAGGGTTCTGATTTCTCTACATCCTTGCCAATGCTTGTTATTTTCTGCTTTTTTTATAATAGCCATCCTAATGAGTGTGAAGTGGTATCTCATTATGGTTTTGATTTGCATTCCTTTATTAGTGATGTAGGAAATCTTTTCACGTTGTTTGTTGGCCATTTGTATATCTTTGGAGAAATGTCCTTTGCCCCTCCCCCCCTTTTCTTTTGGCTGCACTGTGCAGCGTGCAGGATCTCAGTTCCCCGACCAGGGATTGAACCTGGGCCATGGCAGTGAAAGCCTGGAATCCTAACCACGAGGCCACCGGGGTTTGTTTGTTTTTTGTTGTTGTGTTCTAGGAGTTCTTTATATACTCTGAATAGTAATCCCTTATCAAACACATAATTTGCAAATATTCCCATTCCATGGATTGTACTTTCACTCTGTTGACAGTATCCTTTGATGCACAAAAGTTTTTTATTTTGATGAAGTCTACAACACGTTTTCTTCTTTTGTTGCCTGTGCTTTCGTTGTCATATCCAAGAAATAATTGCTAAATCTAGTGTTATGAAGATTTTCCCCTATGTTTTCTTCTAAGAGTTTTATAGTTTTAGCTCTTATGTTTAGATCTTTGATCCATTTTGAGTTAATTTTTTAGTGTAGTATTAGGTACAGGTCCAACTTTATTCTTTTGCATATGGATATCCAGTTTTCCCAGCACCATTTGTTGAAAAGACTGTCCTTTCCCCTATCAAATATTCTTGACTCCATTGCTGAAAATTATTTGACCATATATGTGAGGATTTCTATTTCATTGGTCTAGATATCTGTCTTTTTGTTAGTACCACACTGTTTGTTTTTTTTGTTTGTTTGTTTTTTGTTTTGTTTTGTTCTTCTGCGGCACGCGGGCCTCTCACTGTTGTGGCCTCTCCCATTGCGGAGCACAGGCTCCGGACGCGCAGGCTCAGCGGCCATGGCTCACGGGCCTAGCTGCTCCACGGCATGTGGGATCTTCCTGGACCGGGGGCACGAACCCGCGTCCCCTGCATCGGCAGGCTGACTCTCAACCACTCCGCCACCAGGGAAGCCCACCACACTGTTTTGATTACCATCTTTGGTAAGTTTTGTAGTAAGTTTTGAAATCAAGAAGTGTGAGAGTAAGATTGTTTTGGCTATTTGGGGTCCCTTGAGATTCTGTGTGAATTTTAGGATGGATTTTTCCATTTTTTCAAAAAATCATTGGGGTTTTCATAAGGATTGCATTGAATCTGTATGTTACTTTAGGTAGTATTGCCATCTGTCTTGGTCAGCTCAAGCTTCCATAACAAAATACCATAGACTGGGTGGATTAAACAACAGAAATTTATTTTCTCACAATTATGGAGGTTGGAAGTCTGAGATCAAGGTGCCACCTTCTCACTGAGTCCTCGCATGGCAGAGAGAGAGTGAGCTCTCTGGTGTCTTTTCTTATAGGGACACTACTGCTATCATAACAGGCCCCCACCCTTATGATGTCATTTAAATGTAATTACTTCCATAATGGCCCTATCTCCAAATACAGTGACATTAGGGGTTAGGGCTTCCAACATATGAATGGGGCGGGGAGGACACACACAATTCTAAGTCCATGACAGCATCTTAACAATATTAAGTATTCCAAGTCTTGAACACAGGATATCTTTCCATTTATTTATGTCTTCTTTCATTTCTTTCAGCAATCTTTGTAGTTATCAATGTGTTAAGTCTTTTGCTTCCTTAGTTAAGTTTATTCCTAAGTATTTTGTTCTTTTTGATACTATCATAAATGGATTTGTTTTTTTAAATTTTCTTTTCTGATTGTTCATTGTTAGTCTATATAGAAATTCAACTGATTTTTGTGTGTTGATTTTGTATCCTGCAACTTTGCTGAATTCATTTCTTAGTTCTAACAGGGTTTGTGTGTGTGTGTGTGTGTGTGTGTGTGTGTGTAATCTCTAGGGTTTTCTATATATAAGATTATGTCATCTGTGAACAGAGATAAGTTTACTTCTTCCTTTCCAATTTGGATGCATTTTATTTCTTTTTTTTGTGCAACTGCTCTGGCTAGGACTTCCAGTACTATGTTGATAGACATCTTTTCATACATATCCTCAAGGGCCTTTTTTACGTCTTTTTTTTGCGTGAATTGTCCATCTCTTTTTCCTGTTTACTTTCACGGGGTTTTTTTTGTTTGTTGTTTGTTTGTTTTTGTTTTTGGTGCTTTGTCACAATGTTTAAGAATTCTTTACACATTAGGAATATTAGTTCCTCATCTGTGGTGTATGGTGCAAGTATTTTCTTCCAGTTTGACAGTTGTCTTTTGACTTTGTTTATGGTGTTCTTTGTCGTTGAATATTTTTATTTTTATGTAGTCAAATTACCAATGTTTTCCTTTATTGCTTCTGGAGTTAGAAAGCCTTTCTCAATCTCAGGATTAAAGGGGAATTTACATGTGTTATCTTCTAATAACTGTATGGTTTCTTTTACATCTAGCACCCTATCCATTTGGAGTTTAATTTTGTGTATGGAATGGGGTATGGATTTAATTTTATATTTTCTAAATGGCTATCCAGTTTTCCCAGCACCATTTATTAAGAATTTTATCTTTGCCCCACTGATTTGAAATGCCATCTCTATCATATACTAAATGTCCATACATATTGATACTTGGTTCTATTTCTAGGCCTTCTGTTCTGTTCCACTGGTTGGTTTGTCTATTTATGCACTACTACCACACTGTTTTAATTATAGAGACTTTACAGTACATTTTAATGTCTAGTACAGCTAGTTTCCTGATGTTCCTTTTTTTATTGTCAAATTATTCAGTTTCTCCTTTATACCATTTATGCAGCAAAGGGTTCTGTTGGCATAGTTCTACATCTTTTGGAGGGTTGTGATTTGTTGATTCATGAGCAATGGCCCCTGCATAATTGTACACAGATACCCTGGATCATGTAACACTTGTTATTAATATTTTTGATTTTCACAGTCTGGGTTGATGAACAAGGCCTTCTGCTGTTCTGGCTTTTAGGAGTAAAAATGTGACTGGGACCTATATCAGAAGTCTAGATTCACAAATCTGGGATAAAAGTTTGTTTCAGTAACCAGATCTAATTTGATATGGGACATTTTAGGTTTTGGGTCTTAAATTTGTTTCCAGCCAAATCCATGTTGTTCTTTTGATAAGTTATGGAAAAAACAAAAAAAAAGAATATTAGCTAGTAGTACTTGGTGTTTGTAAATAAGTGGTTACAGCAGGGTTTTTAAAGAAGGTCCAGGCTCCCACCCTTAGACTTCAGGGCTCTGCAGACGCCATGAAATTTTATGCAGCTTTTGCAGATACTTTTTTTAAAAATACTTATTTATTTATTTATTTTGGCTGTGCTGGGTCTTAGTTGCAGCACGCGGGATCCTCACTGCGGCTTGCAGGCTCATAGTTGTGGCATCTTAGTTATGCCATTCGGGCCTCTTAGTTGTGGCATATGAACTCTTAGTTGTGGCATGCATCCCAGACCAGGGATTGAACCCGGGCCTCCTGCATTGGGAGCACGGAGTCTCAGCCACTGGACCACCAGGGAAGTCCTTGCAGATACTTATTTATTTGATTTTTTTCTTGAAAGAAGGCTTATGATTTCATAAGATTTTCAAAGAGATTCATGACCCTTAAAAATTTAGAACTGCAATCAAAGACAGTAGTGCCCGGTAATAATAACCTTTGAGATGTTGTGCGAAATTTGTGCCCAACAACAGGGAGTTAAAAGAGGAAGTTTCTATCACATATTACATTCATATGATGGAATATTATTCAGCTAATAAACATATGCTTACAGAGAGTTAACCAGAACAAGGAAAATACTGTAATAATACAACACTGAAAATGATGAATAAAAAAGTATTCAGGGCTTCCCTGGTGGCGCAGTGGTTGAGAGTCCGCCTGCCGATGCGGGGGACGCGGGTTCGTGCCCCGGTCCGGGAGGATCCCGCATGCCGCGGAGTGGCTGGGCCCATGAGCCATGGCCGCTGAGCCTGCGCGTCCAGAGCCGGTGCTCCGCAACGGGAGAGGCCACAGCAGTGAGAGGCCCGCATACCGCAAAAAAAAAAAAAAAAAAAAAAGTATTCAAATTTTGCAAGGATCCCATTCCCAAATTTTTTAATGGGTAATTGAATGGAGAAGAAACTGGCTACGTATCTGACACCATGCATTCTGCTTTGTGCTCACTATCTCACTTAAACTGGAAATTGCACTGTCTTGAAAATTGGTCATTCACAGGATGTTTTTGATAATGAAGCTGTTTCAGTGCACCAGAGAATATGTTAAAGGACTGTTAAAGAACTTTTAGTTGTAATTTGTTTCAATCATACTAATTTCCTTTTTTGTCCCTACTTGTGTTGTAGACATTGGCTCGATTGCTCATAATTTTTCTGCTGCCAGGAAAATAAATGTCAGCTACAACTCTAGTTATTTATATTTGTTTAAGTGGAAAGTACTGTTATGTTTTTTATTATGAAATGTATAAGCTTAATGCAAAAATTAGAAATTTTGCTTAAAATGTAATTCATCTAAAGATAAATATTCTTAATATTCGATGGATATATTTCAGGTATTTTTCCGTGGGATTTTTATTTATTTTTTTTTTATTTTTTAATTTTTTTTATGGTACGCGGGTCTCTCACTGTTGTGGCCTCTCCCGTTGCGGAGCACAGGCTCCGGACGCGCAGGCTCAGCGGCCATGGCTCACGGGCCCAGCCACTCCGCGGCATGTGGGATCTTCCCAGACCGGGGCACAAACCCGTGTCCCCTGCATTGGCAGGTGGACTCTCAACCACTGCGCCACCAGGGAAGCCCTTTCTGTGGGATTTTATAGAGTGGTATCTCTTATATAAATTCTGTAACCTGCCTGCCTCATTTAATAATGCATTGACTGTGTAACAATTATATTTTAAAGTCACTATGTAGTATTTCATTATCGAGATGCACCTTAATTTATTCGCTTTACTGACTACTAAAGAGCATTTATATTTCTATATTTTAATTGTGAAATTGTCCCAAAAGTACTCTTGTGCATACAACTTCATGTATTTTTATAATGAATTCCTTTGGGTCAGGTATTAGACATTTATTAAGAATTTGCAAATATGCAAAATCCTAATCTAGAACTCAGGGAGACAAAGTACTTTTAAAAAGTGAGAATCTCTGTTTTTAAATTACAAATAATGTAATGGGGGAGATAAAACTTGTATACAAATGTCCAAAGTAAAGGATGAAAAAGGGCACTAGTTTACCCTGATAGTATGCTATGAGAGTTCATAAGAGGAAGATATTTGTATGACCAGAGCTGTCATTGTCATGTCATGTCATATCTAAGTCAAACTGATCCTATAAGAACTCTATGGAGGTGAACTGAGTCACCTATATTTCCTGCAATTTTCATTCTAATCATCAGAAATCCAAAGTATGGGGACTTCCCTGGAAGTCCAGTGGTTAAGACTTCACCTTCCAATGCAGGGGGTACAAGTTCGATCCCTGGTTGGGGAGCTAAGATCCCACATGCCTCATGGCCAAAAAAACCAAAACATAAAACAGAAGTACTATTGTAACAAATTCAATAAAGACTTTAAAAATGGTCCACATCAAAAAAGTCTTAAAAAAAAAAAGTGTTCAAAAGAAATACAAAGTATGACCAGTGGAGCAGGATGATTCTATAGCTGTTCAGAGAACACTGAGGCAAATAGGGCAGGTGCAGAAACATAATAAACCTATCTGGCGAGAAGAGCTGAAAGGAAGCATCACTTATACACAGGACTTGGCCTGAATGACTTTTAGTTCTCTTCCAGGCAGGTCTCCAGCACACATAAATGTAGTTACCAAATCAAGAAGTTTGCAAAAATTGGGAGCTGACAAGCAAAAACAACAAAAGCCATTCTGTGAAAAAGAACTGTTTTTAGAATATCCTGAGCTATTATTTCATGTTCAAAGGAAGATTGTTTAAAATAAAGTATTTCCTTTTTCATCTGCCATTTGGGAGTAGCTTATACTTAACAGAACTTTAAAATATGCATTTAAAAAGTAATGCGTGGTTATTGAAAAACTACACTTAAGCAAGACTAAGAAAAGTGAAGATCACAACCCAGAAATAACCAAAGTAATCTTTAAGGATAAAACTTCCCAGATATGTTCAGTCTGATTTGTCTGTCTATATTGTCTATGTTAATATATACATGTATTTTACAAATAAGACCACATGATGCCCAGTTGTTTTGTAATCTAACCATATCTTGAACATTTTCTATGTTATTAACTACTTAATTACTACTAAATTTGTGAGTACTGAGAATTGCTGTTTTATAGAAATCTTTAATTTATTTAATATGCTGTTGTCTGACTCAGAATCTTGAACATTGCCCGAGAATGTACATACCTCTCAGTGTACTGATTTTGGGTTGATGTTTAGACTGGATGTTTACATCCATAAAGCTCAATACAACATTTAAAAATATGACATATAGGAAAAGTTTCAAGTTACATCAGAAATTCACTTAGTTAAATATCAGAGTCATGTAAATACTTTGACAAACGTATAGATTGGCCTGTCAACAAAAGGGATGTGCAGATGTTCATGGTGCTAAAGGAGGCCATGTTACTGTACACAAAGCAACTAATTATTAATATCTATAATAACTGGTGATCAGGAAGTGATGTTTTAAGAAATTTTCATCTTTTTTTTTTCTTTTTGTCTGCGTTGGGTCTCCATTGCTGCGTGCGGGCCTTCTGTAGTAGGGGCAAGCGGGGGCTACTCTTCGTTGCGGCGTGTAGGCCTCTCATTGCAGTGGCTTCTCTTGTTGTGAAGCACGGGCTCTAGCCTCGCGGGCTTCAGTAGTTGTGGCGCGCAGGCTCAGTAGTTTTGGCTCACGGGCTCTAGAGCACAGGCTCATTAGTTGTGGTGCACAGGCTTAGTTGCTCCGTGGCATGTGGGATCTTCCCAGACCGGGGTTCATACCCGTGTCCCCTGCATTGGCAGGCGGATTCTTAACCACTGCACAACCAGGGGATTCCCAGAAATTTTCATCTTAATACAATAGTTTATTATTTATATGTAGGTGTTTCTTGTGTTTCATTATGTTTAGGAAATTATTTGGGGGCTTTGTGTTAAAATGTGACTCATTATATTTTTCACATTTTAAATATTGGGAGAGAGGCTCCTGGTTAGAGTTTTTACTCAGAATGATTGCTTTTTCAGGAACAGATTACTAATGTTAAGGTGAAGATATCTATATATATCTACTTCTCATGAGCTGTCAAGTTCTCTCACTCCCCCGGCCCAAGCCTTGTGTGATGTGGGATCCATACCCTCTGAAGAATAAGAATGTCTGTCAGTTTAGGGACAGGGAAAATCCAGGAATGTAACTGCAAGCTTCACTGGGTGGTGTGTAGATGGCAGAACTTTGCTTAGAAGGATTTGTACAAAGATTTGATGATAGAGATCTAAAGGAGCATGATTTTGCTGGATCAAGAACAACTTGTCCCATAACTCATAATCTGCCTTTTCAGGGCCTTTTGTTTCACATTGTGGGTTTGTGAAAAATCCCTTTGAGATGTATAGAGTTGGAAATGCACAGCTCTGCTCTGTTATTTCTGAAGTTTCCTCTGACTTTTTAAAAATTATTCTTTCTTGTACTGACCAAGGCCCCAAGTCTGAATTTTTATTTAGTCAGAGTATAGCTGAATTAGCATATTAGTTAGGACAGGTTGTTATGCTGTGGTAGCAAACAACCCCCAAATCTCAGTGGTTTGCAAAATAACTTTTTAATTTTTGCTCATTATGCACCAGCATAGGCAGGGTCCCAGACTAAAGGAGACTCCACCATCCTGTAGCTGTACCATCTGAAACACACAGCCTCCTTGGCCACCACATCAGCAATAGAAAGATTAGAGAATTATGTGGTCTGGATTATGTGGAAGACTGGATACTTGAAAAACTGGATAATGGTGAGACATTAGTAATTAAATTAGTAATGTCTACCACACTGGCTAAGACCCATTTCTTTTTCTGTGTATAGGAAGTTGCTTCTGTAAATTAGGTGTGAATTCTTTTTGGAGCAAGGAAGACATCCTGGACTGTGGAAAGAGGTTAACAAGAGGCCTGTGCACAGGTGAGTGAGGAGACTAAGGAAACAGAAAGCCTTTTATATGAAAGCTCACCTCCTCTGTGGGAAGTCGGTTACTGTTTGAGAACACACTCCTCAAAGGCTCTAGAACTATGGAGAAGATTAAGCTCCTTCAGCATACAAGTTCCCAGAGGCGCTTCACTGTCACTTGTATCACTCCATTCGTATTTTCTTTTATAATCTATCCTGCCCCATGAGGAGGAAGGAATTAATTGTGTTATTTATGATGATAAAACATATGCTTAAGGGAAAACTTGAAAACACAGGAAAACAGGGACTTCCCTGACGGTTCAGTGGTTGAGACCCCATGCTTCCAATGCAGGGGGCGCAGGTTCCATCCCTGGTCAGGGAACTAAGATCCTACATGCAGCGTGGTATGGCCAAAAAAAAAAAAAGAAAAGAAAAAAAAATACAGAATGGGCTTCCCTGGTGGCGCAGTGGTTGAGAGTCCGCCTGCCGATGCAGGGGACACGGGTTCGTGCCCCGGTCCGGGAGGATCCCACATGCCGCGGAGCGGCTGGGCCCGTGAGCCATGGCCGCTGAGCCTGCACGTCCGGAGCCTGTGCTCCGCAATGGGAGAGGCCACAACAGTGAGAGGCCCAAGTACCGGAAAAAAAAAAAAATATATATATATATATATATACAGAAAAACAGATTCCCCCATAATTATACACCTAGAGACAAATGTAAAAATTTAATTGAAAATCCTTTCAATCCATTTTCTATGCATACACATATGCATGTATATACGCATGTATATATTTTTCCTATAAAAATAAGATTACATATACTGTTTTATTATCTACCTTATTCACCCAAAGTTGTTTAACATCTTAACATCAGCAAAGGTATGTTTTTATGGCAACAATGTTTCCATTGTATGGATACACTGTATTTTGTAGGATACTTAAATTCTCTCCAAGTTGTTTCCGTCGTCAGCAGTCTCTCCATCATACACCCGACATTCATCTTTTGGATAGAGTCTCAGATATAGAATTACTTCATCAGAGGATATACATGGTTTAATTTCTGCTAACATTGCCTTGTTGCAAGTTTATACCAGCTATAATCTACTGTGTGTGTCCATTTCGTCACATCATGCTCTTGTGACGTGTCGTCAGTCTTTTAAAAATTTGCCAAATTGATAACTGTAAAATGTTATTTCCTTATTGCTTTAACGTATATTCCCTTCATTACTAGTGAAGTTTTAAAACTCTTGATAGGTTGAGGAGCCACTTTAGTGAGTTGCCCATGCATATCCTCTGCTCATTTATCTAAAATTATTGCTTTTTTCTGAAAATTTAATTTTTAAAATATTTATTTATTTATTTATTTTTGGCTGAGTTGGGTCCTTGTTGCTGCGTGCGGGCTTTCTCTAGTTGCAGCGAGCAGGGGCTACTCTTTGTTGCAGTGCACGGGCTTCTCATTGCAGTGGCTTCTCTTGTTGCGGAGCACAGGCTCTAGGCACACGGGCTTCAGTAGTTGTGGCTTGCAGGCTCTAGAGCGCAGGCTAAGTAGTTGTGGTGCACGGGCTTAGTTGCTCTGCGGCATGTGGGATCTTCCCGGCCCAGCGCTCAAACCCATGTCCCTGGCATTGGCAGGCAGATTCTTAACCACTGTGCCACCAGGGAAGCCCTGAAAATTTAATTTTAAAAACACTATCCAATAAGAATTTTTGTTGTTTATCTGACTTGTGACTTAAAGGCTTTTTTTTTTTTTTTTCCATTTTATCATTTGCCTTTTCATTTTGATTTTAGTATTTTGGGCTAGAGTTTTTAAAATCTCAAATATAAGTTTTTTCTTTGTATTTTTCTGCCTTGTATGTTATGTGTTCACAAAATATAAAAACATTATATTTGAAGTACATTTACAGATATTTTATTTTTATATTAAATATTTTATCAAGTTAGAACTTCTTTTTGGCTTATGGTACAACCACAAAAAATAGGCTGAGAAATTGCTACTTTGATAAACTCTTAAGGTTTCCATTGTGATCTTGTACATTCATTGGAGAGTTTGAGTGCCTCCCATGTAGTATTTTATGTCCTGAGGAATTAATAATGAACAAAACCAACAAGATCCCTGCTTTTAAGTTTAGTGGGAAGAGTCAAATAATTGACAAGCAAATATATAACATAATGTATAGTAGCACTGAGAGCTAGAAGGAAAAATAAAGCAGGGAAGGCTAAAGTGAATGACAAAGGGTAATATTTTAATAGTTTGGTCATAGAGGTGAAGTTTAAGCAGAAACCTTCGTGGAGGGAGCAAGTGAGCTCTATGACTATGTTGAGGAGCATTCCAGAAGGAATATACAAAGCCTCCAGAGGGAACATGGCTGGTATTATGTGGTGCGTTCTAAATAGTCCATGGACATTTAAGAATAATATCTTATTGGTAAGTGAAAATTTTAGGATTGTTACCAGGATGCATCCAGATGTGGCCCTTTGTGAATTTTTATAAGCTCTCAGGAATTCTTTCTAATATAAAGATTCAAGTATTTTATTTCCTCCAGAAAACACTCTTATTATTAACTTTTATTCACTTTTCCTCCCGCTGTTCTATTCTCCACTTTTACGTATATTTTAGGTCTCCTGGATCTCTCTTCCATGTCTCTGACCTTTGTTTTCAGAATTCATTTCTTCTATGTCTTTTTTTCCTCTGAATTCTGAGATGTTCTCCTAGGCTTTTCCCTCCTGATTTCTAATGTATCTGGTGCCTTCTTGTCTAATAATTCTTAAAAGAAACTATTACTTGTCAGAATTGTCTCCTGTGACAAAGCCCTTACAAAAGGTTTCAGTTTCCTTCTCCCATTAACCCCTAACTCTCTTAACTGGGCCTTTTCTAACTCTCTTAATTGGGGAATTTATTGTTCATTCCCCTCATTAATGGCAGTAACCACAGGGAGGCAGTTTATGCTGATGGAAACTTTCATGGGCAATAAAATACAACACTTGGGTTCATATCCCACTCAGTGTGGCCTTGGGTCAATATCATAACCTCTCAGGCCTTCTAGCTTCTCTTATGTATAATGTGAGAAATAAAATCAACTTTATTTAACTAACAGGGTAGTTATAAAATTAAAACTAAATGAAAGTGTATATGAATGGCACTGCATCACCTCACCCTAGAATCCTGGGGATCATTCCTGTACTTATGTACTCTACCTTCCCTAGTTATGAACGAACTACCTGTGATCTTCTGTAATTCAGCCCCCAATACTTGGGTGCTGGTTTCCATCCCCTCTCTCTTGCTCAAGGTCATTGCTCCTGTGCAGTTGTCTCCTATGTCCCTGCATTATTCATTTTTCTCTACTGGGTTATTCCCATCACTATAAACCATGCTGTAATCTCTCCCACATTCAAAACAAACAACCGTTCCTGGATTCCATATCCATTTCTAGCTCTATTTCTCTGCTCTTTTCAACAAAACTCCTTGAAAGGGATGGCTCTTCTGTCTCCACTTCCTTTCCTTCCATTTTCTCTTATAAATTTATTTATTTATTTATTTTTGGCTGTGCTGGGTCTTCGTTGCTGCGTGCAGGCTTTCCCTCGTTGCAGCAAGTGGGGGCTACTCTTTGTTGCAGTGCTTGGGCTTCTCACTGCGGTGGCTTCTCTTTGTTGCGGGGCACAGGCTCTAGGCGGGCAGGCTTCAGTAGTTGTGGTACGCTGGCTCAGTAGTTGTGGCTCACGGGCTGTAGAGTGTAGGCTCAGTAGTTGTGGCACACGGGCTTAGTTGCTCCGCGCCATGTGGGATCTTCCCAGACCAGGGCTCCAAACCCATGTCCTCTGCATTGGCAGGCAGATTCTTAACTACTACACCACCAGGGAAGTCCCACCTTCCATTTTCTCTTGAACTCACTCCAGCCAAGGTTTTGTGTCCTCCACTCTAGAGAATCCACTTTTGTTGAGACTTCTAATGATCTCTCTAATGCCAGATCCAATGGACAGTTCTCGTTCCTCATACCACTTGACCTATTGGTAGCATTTGACAGTTGTTCTCACCTTCCTTCTTGGTATACTTTCTTCACTGGGCTTTCAGTGAAGCCCAATTCTCTTTTTTTCCTTCTATTCCACTGATGTTTCCTTTTCAGACTCCTTTCTTTCTTTTTTCCTTTTCATCTCCCTGTTCTCTAACCGTTGGAGCCCCTCAGGCTCAGGCTTTGGACCGTTTTTCTTCCTTACCTTTAATCACTCTGTAGGCAATCTTACCTAGTATCAGAGCTTCAAATATCAACTGAACATCAGTAACCTCCAATTTTATATTCCTACATTTGGACTTTCTCTGAACTCCCAGATCGAATGTCTAACGGACATCTGGCATTTCCACTTAGACATATAATAATCATCTCAAGTATTAAGGTAAAACAGAATTCATAATTGGTCTATCCAAACCCGCTCCTCTCACAGTCCATTGTGTTAAAAAATGGCAACTTCATACCTCTAGTTGCTCAAGCCAAAAACCCTAGCATCATCTTGGCCTCCTTTTTTTTCTTTTATACCTAAAATCAGTAAATCCTGTCAGCTCTTCCTACAGAGAATATCTAGAATCTGATCTGTTCTTGTCACCTCCCCCATGACCATACCACCCTAAGGCAAGCCCCTCAACCCCTTGCCAGGATTACTGCAGTAACCTTCTCAGTTCCCCCCACTTCCCTGCTTCCCCCCCTTGTCCTCTTAGTCCATTTTCCATGAGTGATCCTTTTAAATGTAAATCAGATTATGCCATTCCTTGGTTTGAAGTGTTTCATTGGCTTCCTGTCTTACTCAAGAGTAAAAACCAACGTTCTTACACAAGGCCCACAAGCCCTGTGTGATCCAGCTTCCATCCTCCTCTCTGGCCCTCATTTTCTCACTCACCCCATTCCAGCCACTCTAGTCTCCTTCCTCTTTGTTGTTAAAGCCTGCTCTTGCCTAGAGGCCTTTGCATTTGTTGGTCCCTCTGCTAGGACTGTGCTTCCCCTAGATTTCTGTGTCGATGTCACATTCCCAATGAAAAGCCTTCTTAGACCACCCTTCATTTCCCCATCTCCTTAATCTTTTTATTTTCCTCTATAGAACTTTGACTCCTTTACATATAAATAGGAATATCAATGTCAGTATATCAATATTTGTTATTGTCTCCTTCCATTAGAATGTGAGATCTGCTGGGACAGACTGGATTTGCTATCTTCCTTACACATAGAACCATGCCAACTGAGTTGGGAACTCAGTAAATATGAAAGAATTCCTGACTCCTTTTTCTCTCTGCATCCATATCCAATCAGATGCCAGAACCAGTTGATTTTACTTCTCTGACACCTTGAATTCATCCCCTTCATCCTCATTTCCACTATCACTATCTTGGGTCAGGCCCTTTGTTTGCTTGGGAAAGTACAGGCACCTTTCAGCTGATCTCCCTGACTCCAATTTTACTCCTCTCCACTAAAATAATCTGGCTATATTGGCCCTTTCACTTCCTTTTTTAAATTCTTCAGTAGCCTTCCATTCATTAATGGGTGAAAACCAAACTTGTATATATTCAGTCAGTATTCATTGGTCACCTTTATACTTCAGCCACTGTGGCCCGTACTATTTACGGTGATGATGAGACCTGGTCCTCATAGTTAATGTCATAAGCATTATCTTCCTCTAGATTCTAGAATTAATTAGATTTAAATTCAGATTAACTAAAATTAAATTAAAAATTCAGTTCCTCGGTCATACTAGCCACATTTCAAATGCTTAGTAGCCACATGTGGCTAGTGGCTACATTATTGACAGTACAAGATGTGACGATTTCCATCATCACAAAGGTTCTATAAGACAGCACTGGTCTAATCCTTGCCCCAAACTGTACAAGTCGTTCCCAGTTATTCTCTGCAATCCAAACACGCCGTCTACTTTTGGTCCACTGTTTTTGCCACTGCTCTTCACTTTGCTCAGAATGCTGTTCTGTCCCTTTTCTGCCTATTAATATCCTCTGATTTTAGGCCCCAAATCATATTCTGTAACTTACAGGAAATTTTCCTTGACACCAGCCCCCAATGATTTAACTAGTCTTCCTTCTGACGGCACCCCTCCCCACCATGGGAACTCAGCAAGGCAGTCTGGCTGCTTACTTCACTATTGGAATTATTTCCCGCTGTTGCCAATGGAAATCAAAGAAAATGGATGTGACGTCTCTGCAGGTGGACGGCAGTAAGAGGGGCTTATTTAACTTGCTTCTCAGTGCAACTTGATAGGAGAATACAACATCTTAAAGTTGCATATGTGTAGCACTAGTGTTTCTTTTTAAATAGTTGGGGGAAAATGACCTAGAAAACCAAATTGCAGTTTGGTAGCCAAAATTAACTCTTGGTTTATTTGTCCTTTGTGTGTGAAATGTCCTACTATTCCGTGCGTCTGACTTCCTCACGTATCTGTTGATCAGTTTGGTTCTTCTTAGTACTATTGAGATCTATCCAGTTGATACCAATGGCCTTAGCGGCAGCAGCCTCTAGAATAACTCCTTACACCTTTCTGGCCTGCATTTCTCTAGACTTCACTCTCCAGGGAGGAGTTTTCTTTTCTTACTTTTTGACTCTCTTGCACACCATATGCACTAAGGATTCTGGAAACTTCTAGCATGACTGCAAAGTGGCCAAGAGAATAAAGTACCTGATGATAAATCACAGTATTAAAAAAAAAAAAAAAGCGTGGGTGCTCCTTGCACCTGTAATTAGAACCAGCCTACTACCTTCCTTAAAAAACCCCTGAGTTCTCATTATCTTAAAGTAGGCCGTTCTCCACCAGCCTCAGCAGTTGTCAGCCAGAGAGGAAGTGATGTTTTTCAGGAAAGCAGTAGAGAGGGCTTATGTGGAAAATAAGGATTGCTGGGCCAAGAAGCTTCTAGAAATTGAGTTCCCACTCAGGTCAATACTCTGGATGTGTAGGTATGCTTGTAAGATGCCTGTATTACTGTGGGTTTTTTTGCTCCTGTGTGATAAGTCCAGCTGGGGCTGGAGGCTTTGACGAAGCCTCTCATATGGATGGCGTGGCCCTTTTTGAACTTAGAAGGCGAATGTGGAGCCGGGGAGGTACCCAAGCGGTTCTGCCTGTTGAACCCAGAGAAGCTGGAAAACTTTGTTTAAGGGTTGTCTTTTTTACAAGGTTTGGCCTGCACAGGTATGCTCTGCTCCTAGCCTGTAGGTACCGTCCTCATCTTTAAGGGGTAAAGTCTGAGTGAGTCTGAGTTGTGATCCTCCTTGCTGCAGCTGCAAAGGAAGGTCTGCTTGGTACAGCTAGCTGGGAGCTGTCTAGGCCTCATCTAGGGTGTACATTAGCATCAACAAGGTAGGGACTGTCCCGGCCAGAATCCCTCCTGCTAACGTGCTTGGATTCTATGTCAGTGCCGAAGCACATCTGCCTTGAATCCATCTTTCAGTTTCCTTATGGTTTAGGAAGGGGCTGGGTTTTGTTAACTCAGTAGTTCTTGGCATTAGTGTTGTGTGGTGGGACAAGGGGAGAGCAAAGGAAGCAGAGCAGGGACCCTGGAAGTACAGTTGTTTTAAGCTCATCTATTAGGCGTGCTGAGGCAAGCTCGGTTTATGAGATTTGCCCCTTCTCCCCCTACTCTGTTTTGTTTGTTTTTTTTTTTCAGGACTCTGCACTTGTTCAAGAGAAGAATCTAAAGAAATCCAAGCAGGACAGGTAGTTCTAAAAGCCATGACCCAGGTAAGTTGAAGTTTCCTCTATCCTTGAAATAATATCAACATTTGTGTTCTTTATCCTGAGACTTCCCTGTCTGGCTGAGCCCCATTCAGTAACCTGCTCCCAGTTCCTCCATTGCAGAGAATGAGCAGTGATGCCTCACCTCCCTTTGTGGCCCTCTCTTCTCCAAGTGTTCCCATACGTGCACAGTGTTCTTACCAGAGCACCAATGGAGCAGAAATATATTCTCCTGAGAGAAATTTGAGAGCCGCCCTTATCAGAACCATGGTTGAATAGAGCCAAAGATAAGATAACTTTGATCTTTTCCATTAATCCAAGTAGTTTCCTTTTTTTCTTCTATTTTAAAATATCACCCCCTCTTTAAAAATCATAAAACATTTCACAGTATTGAAAAATACATACAAAAACGTGTCTATAACATATATATGGTATAAAGAATAATAAAATGGGTTGATATATTTGTTTAATGTACCATCTAAGCAACCCTTATCCCTTTCCACATCCCTTCACATACCGTATTACCACCTCACCAATGTTAATGACTACTTTTAATTTTGTGTTCGTTAGCACTTTGATTCTTATAATTTACCATATATGAATGCTGCTGAACAGTATACTGTTGAGTTTTTCATTTTTAAATTTGATGTACAGGTGTCATATTCTCTATATTTTTTACCATATTTTTTCGCTCAACACAATGTGATTTCAAGTTATTCACATTAAATTGTGTAGCACTAGGTCAGCAGTTCTTAAAGTGTGGTCCAGGAAGACTTTGAGACCCTTTCAGGAGGTCTAGGGGTCAAAATTACTTTTATAATAATAATACTAACACATTATTTGCCTTTTTAACTCACAACTCTAATGAGTGTACACTGGAGTTTCCCAGAAGCTATATGAAATGTGTTATCCCAACAGATTGGGGAGTTCCCTGGTGACCTAGTGGTTAGGATTCCTGGCTTTCACTGCTGTGGCCTGGGTTCCGTCCCTGGGTGGAGAACTGAGATTCTGCAAGCCACATGGTGCAGCCAAAAAGTAAAATTAAATTAAATTAAGTTGGCCAACAGATTGAATACAGAAGATGTGAAAATCTAACTCTTTCATTCAGCCAGTCATTAAAGAGATTTGCAAAAATGTAAAACAGTGCTACTAAATTTTTTTTATTTTTACAAAGTTATTTTTCATAAAATGTGTGTTATTTATGTTAACATGTAACAGGTTTATTATTAGTTATTTGAATAAATTAATAATTTTTAAAATTTATCTCTTTTAATTTCTAATGTGGTATATATTGATAGATTTAACCAGCATTAATGAAAGTCTTCAATAACATTAACAGCTTTATTGTACATATATATAATTCACATACAATGAAATACACCCATGTAAGTATATAGTTCAGTGCTTTTCTAGTATATTTGCAGAGCTGTGCAACCATCAGCACAAACCATTTTAAAACATTTACATAACTGCCAAAAAAAATCCTGTTTGCATTAGCCGTCACTCCCAAATTCCCCTCCTCATCCCCGGCAACCACTAATTTACTTTGTCTCTATGGAATTGCCTTTTCTGGACTTTTAATATAAATGGAATCATTGAATAGTTGATCTTTTGTGTGTGACTTTTTTCACTTAACATAATGTTTTCAAGCTTCCGTGATGTAGCATGTATCAGTATTTTGTTCATTTTTATACCAAACAATATTCCATGGATATGTATAGACCACATTTGGTTCAGCAGTTCATCAGTCTGTGGATATTTGAGTTGCTTCTACTTTTTGGCTATCATGAATAATGCTGCTATAAGCATTGGTATATGCCAATGTTTTTAGGTAGACATATGTTTTCATTTCTGTATACTTAGGAGTGGAATTTCTGGGTAACATGTTAACCCTATGTTTAACATTTTGAGGAACTGTCAAAACCGTTTTCCAAAGTGGCTACCCCATTTTACATTCCTACCAGCAACGTAAGAGAGTTCCAGTTTCTCCACATCTTCACCAATATGTGTTTTTTGGGAGTTTTGTTTTGTTTTGTTTTCATAATAGCCATCCCAGTGGATGTGAAGTGGCATCTTATTGTGGTTTTGATTTGCATTTCCCTAATGATTAGTGATGTTGAACATCTTTTCATGTGCTTATTGGCCATTTGTATATTTTCTTTGGAGAAATCTCTTCAAATTCTTTGGCTGGTTCATAATTAGGTTATCTTTTTTATTACTGAGTTGTGAGAGTTTTTATATATTCTGGATTCAAGTCCCTTATCAGATAAACAATTTGCACATATTTTCTCCCAGTTTTGTGGGTTGGAATTTCACTTTCTTGATGAAATTATTTGCAAAACAAAAGCTTTAAATTTTGATGAAGTTTATTTTATCTTCTTGTTCTTTTTGTTTCTTTTTTGTGTCTGGTGCCATATCTAAGAAACCCCTGCCTGACCAAGGCTGTGAAGATATACTCCTATGTTTTCTTCTAAGAGTTTTATGGTTTTAGCTTTTACATTTAGATCTACAATTATTTTGAGTTAATTTTTATATATAGTGTGATGTGGGGTCCAACTTCATTCTTTGCATATGGATATCCACTTATTCCAGCACTATTTGTTAAAAAGACTAATCTTTTCCCATGAAATTATCTTGGCTGGTTTAATATGTGGTAGTCCTTAGGGAGCTGGTAGAAGATGCCTTTCTTCAGAGAGGTTTTGCAGCTAGGAGTATTCTCAAATTCGGCACACTTTAATTTTTCTCCTAGGGTTTCCCCCAGCTGCATGAATTTCAACCTGACTAAAAATGAGAAAACCAGTCATTATGTGCTTCCTAAGGGGATGCTATAGGAAGTACACAGTACGACCTCTGACATATTTATGTCCCCTAAAAAATATGGAAGTAGAGAAACATGTTAAAGTATACCATGAAGATATGATCAGCCAAATCCAGAATATGGGAAATGCTACTGATTCAAATGTTTGTTTAATGGATAAACAGCCATAAAAATTTTTAAAGGGTCTGTGGGTGCTATAAGAGATTTGAGAGACTTTAGGAAATCTATAAACTAATTGCAAGGGGTGGATTTTGTTTGAATCCTGATTTGAACAAGCCTACTGTCAAAAATCACTTTTGAGAAAATTGGGGCAATCTGAAACTTGATCTGGTTATTAGGAAATTATTGTTAATTTTATTAAGTGTGATAGTGATATTCTGGTTATTATGCCTTTTTTAAAAAGCCTAATCTATTAGATACTAAAGTATTTGTGGGTGAAATACTATGTTTGGTATGTGGGATTTGCCTCAAAATATACCAGGGGTAAAAAATGGAAAGGAAGACCTAAAACAAGATTTGCAAGGTCTTGTTAAGTTACTGAAGCAGAGTGATGGATTCATGGGGGCTCATTATACTATTCTCTGTACTTTTGTGTATTTTGAAAATTTTTGTAATCAATTTAAAAACTAAAAGTCATTTCATTTACTAATAGTGCATGGGTTTATTGTTTCAGGGATTGGTGACATTTAGGGATGTGGCCATAGAGTTCTCTCAGGAAGAATGGAAGTGCCTGGAACCTGCCCAGAAGGACTTGTACAAGGATGTAACTTTGGAGAACTTCAGTAACTTGGTCTCACTAGGTAAGGACATTGTATAATACAGGACCAGCCAGGAAACAAGGCTCCCAGGGACTACAACAGTGGGAGGCTGTTACCACCTTCGGCTGGAGGGGGTAAAGAGAGGAAACACTGCCACCAGAAGATAGTGAGAGCTAGAGCCATGGAGAAGGGCCAGCTGGTAGCCACTGTAGCTACCTGCAGAACTCCTGGGTCAAAGGAGGGAGCGAGAGGGACAAGAAATATCCTGAACTGTCTTCCTGTCCATTGATGCTTTCCATCTACCAAACCCAATGAGATATGATAGGACCAGGGTAATACAGTCCTTACAGGTAAGCTGTCTGGGGCACAGCTAGGCACATAGCAGGGCCAAGAGTAGCGAGGAATGGATTGGGGAGAGGGAGAGGGCAAATGGAGAATAAAATTTCTGGTTTCTTCATGGTGAATTTCTGGGAAGACTTACAAGTTTCTGGCTAAGTTTCTGTTCTCTGTCTTCAAGGGAATTGTTCTGTGCTTTGTTGAAGTAGAAATGGGTAGTGCCATTGGCACCTCCACCTTCCCATCCTTTGGACAACCTTCACACCTTCCTTTATGTAATTGCCTCTCTTCCTTAGCAACCAAGAGACTGGGTTTGAATTTGGAAACAGCACGATCATGCCCCATTTCTTTTCCTATAAACAGGACTTTCCCTTTCTAAGCCCGATGTCATCTCCTTACTGGAGCAAGGGAAAGAACCCTGGATGGTTGTAAATGATATGACAGGACCATGGTGCCCAGGTGAGTGAGGGCTGATCCAATGGGGTGAGGTCACTGGGAATAATGGCCCAGCAGGTGAGTCAACTCATAACAATAACTTATTGTCAGGAAACTCCCTCAAAGCCCTACCAAAAACTGAGGAATAAAAGCCTGAGACGTGAAGCCATGAAGAACAAAGACCTTGCCAGCATCAGCTTCCAAGGGAACCTTGCCTTTATCCCCATTAATTCCTCTCTGTTCTTTCTTCTCTTATGTTTTCTTCTCATTTCAAAAAGGAATGTGCCCCTTTCCGGTGGCAGCCATTTTACCTGGAGTTTGGATCCTTTTTTCTGCAAGTGTCTTCATTCCTTAAAGAGTATTTATTTTCTTAAAACAGCTTTTCACTTCACCTAATTCAGCAATTCATTTATTCTCTTAACTTTTGAGAGGTAAGGATGTGTAGTGGCTGAGGGAATACTCTGGAATCAGATTTTTTTTTTTTTAATTTATTTGGCTGCATCGGGTCTTAGTTGCGGCATGAGGGATCTTTCGTTATGGCGTGCAGGCTTCTCCCTAGTTGTGGTGTGTGGGCTGCAGAGTGTGAGGGCTCAGTAGTTGCAGTGCATGGGCTTAGTTGCCACGCAGCATGTGGGATCTTAGTTCCCCAACCAGGGATTGAACCTGCGTCCCCTGCATTGGGAGGCGGATGCTTAACCACTGGACCACCAGGGAAGTCCCTGGAATCAGGTTTTCTGAGTTCAAATCCTGGCTCTGCCACTTACTAGATCTGTGAGTTTAAGTAAGTTACTTAAATTCTCTGTGCTTCAGTTTTCTCCTCTGAAAATGAGATTAAAAATAGTGCCTTCCTGGGGCTTCCCTGGTGGCGCAGTGGTTGAGAGTCCGCCTGCCAATGCAGGGGACACGGGTTCGGGAAGATCCCACATGCCGCCGAGCAGCTAGGCCCGTGAGCCATGGCCACTGAGCCTGCGCGTCCGGAGCCTGTGCGTCCGGAGCCTGTGCTCCGCAACGGGAGAGGCCACAGCAGTGAGAGGCCCGCGTACCGCAAAAAAAAAAAAAAAGTGCCTTCCTCATGTAGTCATGTAGTTAGTGTGGCTTTTTTATGAGTTAGTATGTGAAGATGCCCAGAACAATGCCAGGCAATAGTGACCACTAAAAAAGTGTTAGTAAGTATTTGTAACTGGCACTTGCTGGACAGAAATGGAGCCTTTGAATACTTAGTTATGTTACTACCTCATGACTTCTCTGTATTGTTGTCATTTATTTTCATCTGGGATCATTTTTTCTCTATCTGAAGAACACCCTTAATATTTCCTTTTGTGTAGGTCTGCTGTTGACAAATTCTGTCAGCTTTTGACCACATGAAAATGTCTTTATTCTACCTTTTTTCTTGTAGGATATTTTCACTGAGTATGGAATTCTGTGTTGGCAAGAATCTTCTCTCAGCCCAAAGAAGAACTCATTCCACTGCCTTTTCTCTTCCAATGTTGTCATTAAGTCAAGTTGTTCCAATTTTGGAAAATGTTCCACATATATTTAAAACTAGTGTCCTTTGGATGGGGCATTCACCTCTTTAACTATAACCCTTTTGATTATGTGATTCAGAGTCTGTATGTCCTTTTAACTTTCTCTGTACTTCCACTATCAAATTCTGAGAGCTCTTAATTGTATTATATATTTTGCTACTACATATTACATTTTTATAAAGATGAAATATAGATCCTTGTTGCAAATTGTATTTTTATCAGTACAGTCCATCCTTCATTTTGCCACTTAGTGGCATTTAACCTTGAATTCTATTTTTTCTGATATTAGTATAAAATGCCCTGTTTTTGTTAGTTTAAAAAATTATGGTGTATCTTTGCTTATCCTTTTTTAAAAATTATTGCCATTTTAAGTGTCCATTATAATCAGAATTAGAGTTTCCTTTTTTAATCAATCTGAGAGTCCTTGACTTTAATAGAATTTAATCCATTCTCATTGTGATCATTCATGTGTCTGTTCTTACTCCTCCCATTTTATCTTATATTTTCTGTTCCTCATTCTCTTTATTTCTAGCTATTCCTGTTTTGCTCACATTATTTTTTTCTTTGTCTTTTTTTTTTTTTTTTTTTTTGCAGTACGCGGGCCTCTCACTGTTGTGGCCCCTCCCGTTGCGGAGCACAGGCTCCGGACGTGCAGGCTCAGCGGCCATGGCTCATGGGCCCAGCCGCTCCGTGGCATGTGGGATCTTCCCTGACCGGGGCACGAACCCGTGTCCCCTGCTTCGGCAGGCGGACTCTCAACCACTGCGCCACTAGGGAAGCCCTTCCTCACATTTTATTACCCTTTCTACCTTTAAGCAATTTTGAAGTTGTACATCCTATTGCTTTGTAATAGAATAGTCTTTAACTTGACTTTAAGAAATGTGCTTAGGGGGCTTCCCTGGTGGTGCAGTGTTTGAGAGTCCGCCTGCCGATGCAGGGGACACGGGTTCGTGCCCTGGTCCGGGAGGATCCCACATGCCACGGAGCGGCTGGGCCCGTGAGCCATGGCCTCTGGGCCTGCGCGTCCGGAGCCTGTGCTCCACAACGGGAGAGGCCACAACAGTGAGAGGCCCGCGACTGAAATATAATTTTTTCTTTTTAGTAAAGTTTTTTTAAAAAATATTTTGAAATCATTCTAGTTTAGACTTATAGAAAATTTGCAAAATTACAGAGAATTCCCATATACCCTTCACTCAGCTTCCAAATGTTAACATTTTATGTAACCATAGTACAGTTATCAAAACCAGGAAGTTAACATTGGTGTTATACTATTAACTAATCTACAGATCTTATTAGAATTTTATCAGTTTTTCCCCTGATGTCCTCCTTCTATACCAGGATCCAGTCTGGGATCCCACATTGCATTAAGTTGTTTTGTCTCCTTAGTATCCTCCAATCTGTGACAATTGCTCTGTCTTTCATGACTTTGATCCTTTTGATGAGTACTCTTTTGGAGAATGTCTCTCACTTGTGTTTGCTTGATATTTTCTCACAGTTAGATTGAGATTATGCATCTTTGACAGGAATACCACAGAAGTGATGTTGTGTCCTTCTCTATGCATCATATCAGGGGTTGCCTGATGGTAATATGGCTTTTTACTGGTAGTGTTAACCTTGATCACCTTGGTTAAGGTGTCTCTCATGTTTCTCTCCTGTAAAGTTAGTACTTTACGACTGTAAGTGGTAATTATCTTGGAGGGAGATACTTTGCAACTATATGCTGTTTCTCCTCATTTTGCCCACTGGTTTTAGTATCCATTGGTGGATCTTGTCTGTAACAATACAATAGTGTTGCCTTGTGTTGATTTTCTATGTCCCTTATTGCTTCTGCGTTTATTAATTGGAATTCTTCTGTAAGGAAGGGCTCTCCCTACTCCCTTTCCCATTCATCTATTTATTCAAAGATTTGTTTCTATCAGTATGGGCTATTTATTTATGTATTCTATGAGTTATAGTCCAAAAATATCATTGTTTATTCTGCTGTTCAAATTGCTTATTGGGAAAGCTTTGGCCATTTGGGAACACCTTCAGGTTGTATATATATTCACAATGTCGTGCAGCCATTATCACTATCCATTTCCAGAACTTATTCATCATCCCAAACAGAAACTCTGTACCTATTAAACAATAACTCTCTACTTTCCCCTCCGCCCTGCCCCTTGTTACATCTTTTCTACTTTGTCTCTATGAATTTGACAATTCTAGGTATCTCATGTAAATGTAGTCATGCAATATGTAGTTTTAGGTTCATTCATTTATCAGAATTTAATTCCTTTTTAAGACTGAATAACATTCCATTGTATGTATATACCACATTTTGTTTATTCATTCCTCTGTTGATGGACACTTGGGTTCTTTCTGTCTTTTGGCTATTGTGAATAATGCTGCTCTGAGCCTTGGTGTACAAGTATCTGTTTGACTCCCTGTTTTCACTTCTTTGGGGTATATACCTAGGAATGAAATTGCTGGATCAGCTGGTAATTGTTATGTTACTTTTCAAGGGCATTTCTTAATTTTTAAGAGTCTTTTATAAATTGTGAAGATCATCCCATTATCTATGATATAAGTTTCAAATATTTTCTCTGTCACTTGTCTTTTGACTTTGCTTTTGGTGTTTTTTGTTCGTGTGCAAGTTTTTTGTTTTGTTTTTCACCTTTACATAATGGAATTTATCAGTCTTTTGATGCTTTTGGATTTTGAGTCATTATTTAGAAGGTTTCCCTATACCTGGATTATAAAGTAATCTACCACATTTCCTTCCAGTTTTTGTATGGCTTCTGTTTTCTTTTAACATTAAAACTGTATTCAGAGTTTATTCTGGTATACGGTGGTATAACATATGGATCTAATTTTATCTTTTTCCAAATGACTAATCCCAACATTATTTATTATAAAAACTATTCTTTTCTCCTTTGAGATACCACCTTTATAATAAATTCAGTTTCCATATAAACTTTAGTCTATTTCTGGCCTTTCTATTGAGTTCCATTGGTCTGTCTCCAGAATCCAATATTTATTCATCAAGCAATCCGTTATTGCTACTACGTGCTAGGATTTGGTGACAACGGCTAGTGAAAAAGGCTTTATTTCTGCCTTTGGGGAGGTAAAAAAACAAATCAACAGATGAGTAAGTAAATGAAACTCTTAAGTACAACTGATGAAAGTGTTATGACAATAGGACACGTTGTGGGAAAGAGAATCAAAGTATACGTTTAGGGTTATCAGGCTGAGAGCTTTTTGAAAGTATGAGTTTTAATCTGAAACCTAAAGAGAAAAGCAGCCATACAAAGGGCCCAGGACAGGATTCCCAATAGATAGAAGAACCTGATGAGAGGTCTAAGATGGAAAAGACCTACATTTATTCTAGATACTCAAAGGAGGGCTGTGGTTTGTTACATAGGGAGGAAAGGGGAGAGTATTCAATATGAAGATGCATTGTCCTTGGTGGAGATAGAGCAACAGAAGGACAACAGAGACAAGCAGGGACCTGCTTTGCCAAGAACCTGTGAACCATGGCATTGAATTTAGAATTTATTCTAAGTGCAGTGGGGAGGCTGTGAAAAAGTTTAAGCAGAGATTTTCATTTTGACTGACATCAGCATCATATGGTAGAAAGTGCTAAAAATATAGATGCCTTATTTGTATGAAATGCCCTGAATAGGCAAATTCACAGGGACAGAATTAGTGTTTCTCTGCCATTAGTGATTGCCAGGGGCTGGCAGGAATGAGGAATGGGGAGTGGCTGCTTAATGGGCACAGGGTTTATTTTTTATTTTTTTTAAATTGAAGTATAGTTGATTTACAATATTGTGTTAGTTTCTGCTATACAGCAAAGTGATTTACATATATATTATATATATATATATATATACACACACATATATACATATATATACACACACACACATTCTTTTTCATATTCTTTTCCATTATGGTTTTATTCGGATATTGAATATGGTTTGCTGTGCTATACAATAGGACCTTGTTGTTGATGCATTCTATATATAATAGTTCACATCTTCTAGTCCCAAACTCCCAATCCAGCCCTCCCCCGCCCCCCCCCGCCCCCTTGGCAACCACAAGTCTGTCCTCTATGTCTGTGAGTCTGTAGCACAGAGTTTCCATTTGGGGTGATGAGAGTGTTCTGGAATTAGAAGATAGTGACAATGATTGCAGGACACTGGGAATGTACTGCAAACCATGGAATTGTACACTTTAAAATGGTTAAATGGGAAATTTTATATTATGTGAATCTTCAATTAAAATATATATATATTACTTTTAAAATATGTGTAGATATGTATGTATACACATGTCTTGGCCCTACTCCTGTAGATTTTGATTCAGTGTGGGGTGCTGTTTGGACATTTGTTTTGTTACAAGGCTTCCTGGATGATTCTGATCTCTATCAAACATGAGAACCACTGGCTTAATTTGTTTTCTTGCCCCTTTCTGGCACCATATGAGCTCTTATCATATTTGTGCTTTCATGTGCTTTTCAGAAATTGCACAGCAATATTTGAGACTTATAGAAGCAATTCACCTATTACAGTTATTATTTTCATTTTGTCTCTCTAGTCTCCTGTAGAATTTTTAAATTTCTCTTAGAAGAAGAGAACAAGTTGTATTTACTTTTTTTTTATTTTTCAGACTTGGAGTCCAGGTGTGATAAATTTCTACAAAAAGATATCTTTGAAGTAGAGTCATTCGATTGGGAGCTGATGGAAAGCCTTACATGCTGTGCTTTTGAGGGCTCCAGTTTTAGAGATGACTGGGCATACAAAAGCCAGTTTGAAAAACAACAAGTAAATCATGAGTGCTCTTTCAAGCAAGTGAAAATCACCTATGGAAACATGCCCGCTTTTGAGCATCATACATCCCTCACCCTACATCCCAGCAATGAGACTGGTGAGAAACTGATTGAATGTAATGAATGTGGGAAAGCATTTAGCCGTGGCTCACACCTTATTCAACACCAGAAAACTCATACGGGTGAAAAGCCCTTTGAATGTAAGGAATGTGGGAAAGCCTTCAGTCGTACCTCTCACCTTGTTCAACATCAGAGAATTCATACAGGTGAGAAACCTTATGACTGTAAGGAGTGTGGGAAGACCTTTGGTCGTACTTCAGAACTTATTCTACATCAGAGACTTCATACTGGTGTCAAACCCTATGAATGTAAAGAATGTGGAAAGACCTTTAGACAGCACTCACAACTTATTCTGCATCATAGAACTCATACAGGTGAGAAACCCTACGTATGTAAAGACTGTGGCAAGGCTTTTATTCGCGGCTCGCAACTTACTGTTCATCGGAGAATTCATACAGGTGCTAGACCCTATCAGTGTAAAGAATGTGGGAAAGCCTTTAGACAGCATTCACAGCTTACTGTGCATCAGAGGATTCATACTGGGGAGAAACCCTATGAATGTAAGGAGTGTGGCAAGGGCTTTATTCATAGCTCAGAAGTTACTCGACATCAAAGAATTCATTCTGGGGAGAAACCCTACGAATGTAAAGAATGCGGGAAGGCCTTTAGACAGCACGCACAGCTTACACGACATCAGAGAGTTCATACAGGTGACAGACCCTATGAGTGTAAAGATTGTGGGAAGGCCTTTAGTCGTAGTTCGTACCTTATTCAGCATCAAAGAATTCATACAGGCGACAAACCCTACGAATGTAAGGAATGTGGGAAAGCCTTTATTCGTGTTTCACAACTGACTCATCATCAGCGGATTCACACTTGTGAGAAACCCTATCAATGTAGGGAATGTGGAATGGCCTTTATTCGTAGTTCACAGCTTACTGAACATCAGAGAATTCATCCTGGTATCAAACCTTATGAATGTAGAGAATGTGGGCAGGCCTTTATTCTTGGCTCACAGCTCATTGAACACTACAGAATTCATACTGGCTAGAAAGCCTTAATGTTAGGGATGTAGGAAAGCCTTTATGTGGAATTCATGCCTGACTCAGTATTAGATAATGCATAATGTAATTATTGTCAGAGAACCTTCATTTGTCCCCTCCATTATGGAACATCAGGTAACTCATACCAGAAGAAAATTCAATAAACATGGGAATTCTTTTTGCCTCACACTCACTGTTTACTAAGCATCAGAGATCTTACACTGAAAAAAAATTAATATGAATATAGAAGAGCCTCCTGTTACCACTCAAAATATGTTAAACTTCTGAGAATTCCTAATAGAAAATGACCCTATTAAAACATTTTGTGACTGTGCCTTTCGCCATGTACCTTACTTAACATTATCTCACTTCCAGCAATTACTGACTGTATAACATTGGGTAAATTATGCAATGTCTGTGTTCCTCAGTTTACTTATTTTTAAGCAGTGATAATTATATGTACCTAATAGAGTTTATGTGAAGATTGTCAGATATTTTATATAAAGCCTATGCTCAATAAATACTATTGTCATTAATTAATAACAGTATTACTGTTAAGGAGTTCATGTGAGAGGAGGGCCTTATGAATGTATCAAATATCCGAAGCCTTCAAAACCACTTGTTAGGATAATTCATTCTGAAAAACAGTAGTAAAGTATAGGTATTATGAGAAGATCTTCATTTAAAAGGTTGTAAATTTTGAAGAGTAGAAATTAACAGAAGAGCAGCTGAAAGAAATCTGCCCATTTAGGAATCTAAAACCACCTCCAAGTATAACTTCAAGAGAATCAAACTAAAATTACAAACTAGAAATGAATGGCAGTGAATTCTGCATATCAAAACCAGTTCAGTGTAACCAAAGCTGTACTCCTGTCAGAACCCAAGGATTAAAGGTAGGGGCTTTGGGGGCTTCCCTGGTGGCGCAGTGGTTGGGAGTCCGCCTGCCGATGCAGGGGACGTGGGTTCGTGCCCTGGTCTGAGAAGATCCCACGTGCCGTGGAGTGGCTGGGCCCGTGAGCCATGGCCGCTGACCCTGCACATCCGGAGCCTGTGCTCTGCATCGGGAGAGGCCACAACAGTGAGAGGCCCGTGGGACTTTCCTGGTGGCGTGGTGGTTAGGAGTTCACCTGCCAATGCAGGGTATACAGGTTCGAGCCCTGATCTGGGAAGATCCCACGTGCCGTGGAGCAACTAAGCCCATGCGCCACAACTACTGAGCCTGCGCTCTAGAGCCCGCGTGCCACAACTACTGAGCCCACGTGCTGCAACAACTGAAGCCCGCACACCTAGAGCCTATGCTCTGCAACGAGAAGCCACTGCAATGAGAAGCCCGCACACCGCAACAAAGAGTAGCCCCCAATCACCACAACTAGCAAAAGCCCGTGTGCAGCAGCAAAGACCCAATGCATCCAAAGATAAATAAATGAATAAATTAATTTAAAAAAATTTTTTAAAAAGGTAGGGGCTTTGTTCTCTAAATAGATCTCCAGCACCTACTCATTGCCAGTCACATACTAAACGCATTAAATGAATGGTCAATCCTAAAAGTTAGGGGAAATTACCACATAAACCCAAGTCAACAGTAAGAACGATTATTAAAAAGAAAAGAAAAAAGTGGGACTTCTCTAGTGGTCCACTGGTTAAGACTTCAAGCTTCCACTGCAGGGGGTATGGGTTCGATCCCTGCTCAGGGAACTAAGATCCTACATGCCGCATGGCACAGCCAAAAAATATAAAATCAGAAACGACAGTAGACTTAATCTGAAGGTTATTTAACAATATAATAGACAATTGACAACTCTGATATAGAAAAAAAAACACATTTAGCAGTATGAATGAGGAAGGGGTGGATTTTTTTAAAAAGTAGCAACTATGCATGACTTTAATATATTTAGAAATCTAGAGAGAATGGATTTTTACAAAAATAATCAAAATTGGTTCAAGAAGATGTGGGATTTCTGAACAATCAATGATTGTGGAAGGACATAAAAAGTCATCAAAGCTCTGTCCCTTTAGAGAAAACAATTTTTTTGTTTTGTTTCGTTTTAATTATTTTTGGCTGCGTTGGGTCTTCATTGCTGTGCACAGGCTTTCTGTAGTTGTGGCGAGCGGGGGCTACTCTTTGTTGCGGTGCACAGGCTTCTCATTGTGGTGACTTCTCGTTGCGGAGCATGGGCTTTAGGCATGCAGGCTTCAGTAGTTGTGGCACACGGGCTCAGTAGTTGTGGCACACGGGCTTAGTTGCTCCGTGGCATGTGGGATCTTCCCGGACCAGGGCTCGAACCCGTGTCCCCTGCATTGGCAGGCGGATTCTTAACCACTGCGCCACCAGGGAAGTCCCAAGAAAACAGTTTAACATACAAAAACCTTAAAGTACAGATAATTCCTGAGAGAAGCTTTACAATTCATCTTCAAGGCTAAAAAATTTATGATAAAAAACTCAACAAGAATAACTCCTGAAAAACAAATTGTAGATAATAATTATCATTTGTGAAGATAAATATAAATAAAATTCCAGCTAATTTAATCCAGTCTATGAAAATTAATTTTAGATGGAATGTCTGGAACTGCACCTATTCTGGATTAAATATGTTTTTAGAATTTTGATGTTGTAACTCCAGGATGTGACAGTGATGGGGAAAAGAGCCTTGATCCAACTCCAGGGACATCCAGATCAGGGCTTGTGAATGACTGAGTAATCTTAAAAAACACATCCCCTCAGCCCTTGGGGTCAGTGTCTGGGCCAGAGGACCCATTGCACCCTGATGCTATCCATCTTCTCAGTCATCCTGAGTGTTCAGTAAAAGCACCTGCATTTTCTGCATGTGCCACTGCCTACAAAGGGTTACAAAGCAGTGTGCTTTATGTCATTTTTCTTTAAGTGGCTTAATGATTAGGATGTACAGTTGGAGGGGCTCAAATCTATGACATTAAAAATTAATCACTTTGAATAGCTAAAACACAGGCACAGGATAAAAATTTTAAAGTTAAATTTTGTATTCACGTAAGTGAACCTCCACACATTACCCTGTTGCCCTTTATGTAGCAATCACTGTTATCAAGTTCTTGCATATACTTCCTGATTTCTCCATTTGCTTAAGTGTAGACATACACATAACACTCTTTATAAGAATGTTTTACATAAATGATAGCAAATTTCTATACATTGCTAGTTTTGCTTATCCATACACCTTGGAAGATTGCACCATGTCAATACATATATAATGGCCTTATTTTTTAACAGCTGCATAGTATTCTCTCATATGTGTGTTTCATAATTTATTTAACCTTATCAATTTAGTTTATTTTTTGCTCTTTCCAACAATCCTATAATAAATATCCTTGCACATACATTATTTTGTATATGTAATGTATATCTTTAAGATGAATTTCTAAAAGTGGAAATGTTAGATCAAAATAATATATATATATTTTTACTAGCAAACATCAAAAAAAAATGTATATACTTCTCTCTTTTAAACTTTCTGTCCTCACACTCTTAGAATGTACCCCCAGTGCCCCATGACCAGCTTCAATAATTATCAGCTCATGGCCAGGCTTGTTTTATCCATATTTCCACCCGTCCCCCACCTCCATGTTATTTTTGAAGTAAATCCCAGATATATCATTTCATCTATAAAAATTTTAATATGTACCTCTGAAATATATCACAAATTTAGAAAAGATTTTCACGCCTTAAAAAAATTGACAGCACTGCCTTAATACTTAACATTGCATATCTGATAGCCAGTGTTCCAATTTCTAATTGTTTCATGAATGTCAATTTTTTGAAAGTTATTAGGATCCAAATAATGTTCACAAATTGCAGTTGATTGTTGTGTTTCTTAAGTCTCAATCTATCCATTCTCCTTCATCCTCCTCCCCCGGACCCCCCCCCCCCCCCCCCCCCCCCCCCCCCCCCCCCCCC